CCCTGCATGTACCTCGCCACACTGCAGTCTTAAAAATATGTTTTAGGCCGAATGTTTATTGTAAAACTGCCATAAAACAACAATGTTTCAAGCAACAGGCAACCTGTTTGTAACCATTTCATAGAATAGCTTTCTGTAAAGGAGCTTTTAGAGGTATTTGGTGCTTTAGACGTCTGGTTTGTTTCGCATCACTTTTTACGTCTTAACCATTAAATGGTGCAGGAATTTTGGAAAATCAGTGGAATTGACCTTTAAATCAGAAGCATAGCTGCTAGGAAATTAGGGAGAAATTCAATGTCCACCCATGAATTTGTCATGCCTGAAACGTCAGTCCGCCTCTACTAAATAATGCCATAAAGTATCAGAAACCACATAAGTGAGCTTATTAGAGAATACTTAACATGGTTTTAAGGAATTACTGATGATTTATGCATGATAACAGGCTGTAAACTTCCATTACTGGTTAGCTACATTAGCCTCATAGCTCTAGGCTAAAACTAAAGAAGCAGTCTTCACACACCAAACATGTCTTGCCTGATCAGCTTTGGGCTAAGAAGAATGTCAGATTTTTCATTGAACTTTTCCTGTAATTGGCATTGACAGGAATAACTTGTGGTGTTGTGTTTCAGTTTATATGCTCCACATATTTCTTCATCAAACTTTTCAGTTTCTTCATGACATCTTTTTCTAGAAGACTTACATTGCAAAACTGTCCACAGAGCTCAGGGAGAAGCTCTGTGCACAAACAGCACTAGTCTGTCTAAACACATTGAGAGAGTGTTGACGCACGCTGACATTTACAGACATGTGGCGGGCCGAGGTGTCATCACAGGAGATTTCCTGAAGAGCCGACTGAAGTCTTCTGTTTAGACACGTGGTCAGGCGTTCTGTGCTGTACCTGTCATTGTCATAGTAAATACACAGGACCATATGTGGTGCATTTTATGAGAAGACAAGCTTGTGGTGCTGTTCTGAGTGTTCTGTAATACTCTGAGTTGACGTTTGATCAGACTTGTAGAATCTGTCATGCTTTACTGCCACAGGGTGCAGAACCACGTGAAGAGATGAGAGAGCAGCAGTATAGGACAGAGACTAATAGAGGGGAAGTGGGAGATGCAACCTTTCATTCATTTAATTTCCAGTCAAAGCAGCCTTTAAGTGCCATTATGTACTGAGATTTTTCAAGAGATATTTCTAAGGAGATTAAAAGGAGTTAAAAAAATGATTAAAAGCTACAGAGAAAATAGGACTCCTAACAACCATCTGGAAGACAACAAATCTACCCCATCAGATAAACAGCACTTAAAGCTTTCATCTTTGAGAGAGAGGAGAAAATCAAGCTGCTTTAGATCTAAAAAAAAAAAACACAGGTGTTTCTGTTCATCCTTCCACTGTGAGAAGACAATTCAGCGCTATGGGTCTGAAAGAATGTGTAACTGCCAAGAAGCTCTTACTGAGAAAAGGAAACAGACAGTTGCTGGTGTTCTCAGAACAATGGACTGACCACCCCAGAGTCCAGACCTCATCATTATTGAATGCGCTTGAGATTACTTGGATTGTGAGAAGCAGAAAATGCTAAGCTGCTTATCCTTCTGGGTCGTGGGGGGAGCTGGAGCCTATCCCAGCGGTCATTGAGTGGAAACACCCTGGAATTCCCCCTTGAGTGAAGTGCTTCAGTTAAAAAAAGCTCATTTTAAAGCTGAGGAGTTCTTTCACAGAGTGTTGAATCTGTGTTGGCCGATACTCAATGTTTCAGTATCGGTATTGAGAAAAAATTGAGTCATTCCTGCTTTATTTCTGTATCTTATCTTTTTTCTGCCCACTCAAAATAGACGTATTAGAAACAACCCATTGTGCCCTTAAACACAGCATTTAGTTGATCTGTTTCTTTATTTGTCAAATTTGTAACATTTAATAAACGTTGGCCTTAAAGAACAGAAAATAATCATGTACTGTTTAACACTTCATCTGATGTTAGAGTAAAGCTTTCCCCAGTTTCTTCTCAAGTCAGGTAACAGCTCAACTAAACACTGTGACACATTTAAAGTGTTACAGAAAAAGTGTTAAAGATCTAAACTTTTGGATTTACAACATGCAACACACTATAAACCTCAATTCAGATAACTTAATTTACATCTGTGGCTTGCACATATTAGTCCAGTTTGCATGACTTAATGAAGTAAAGGCAACTTGTGTGTCTGGGCAGTTATTTTCCAATTGAATAAACTCTGCAAATTGGATTTTAACTGCATCAGTTGAGTTGCTGAGCAGCAGACAATGCCTCGTCTTGGGTACGGTGTCTATTTGCACTTTTGTTCCTGAAGCCATTAGAGAGTAAGGCTTCATAAAAGAGTGACAGTGAAGAGCCAATAGGAAGACAGGATTGAAACTGTGTATGCTCTTAAATTAAGTACTAGCATACAGTTTAGTGAACTTGGCTGAACTTATATTTTGCTGGCATTTTAGGGAAACTGATTCAGATGGACATCTCCAATTCATTGTCAGACATTCAGTATATATTTGGGACCTGCCGACACTGGTCAATTAATCTGTTATGATTATATTGCTACATGCCTTCTACAATATATTAAACCATACTGGTAAATTCTGTTGTGATGTGGTTTAACATCAACTGGTATTCTTTGTAACCACACTGATTTACATTTGTTGGGTTGGTAACACTTTACATTAAAACTTTACAGGCAGGAATTTCGTTGGTCTCGTCAGTCATTCAGTGATTTTACAGTAAATTGCATCTCTAGCATATGTTATCTTAAATTGTAGTCATAAAAACTCAACAGAAATGTGTTTATTTCAGTGTGTTTTGTAATTTTGCATGCATTCACATCTGAACAGTAGTTCCAAACATTAGCAGCTAATGAAGGCTTAGCTCCTCCCACACTTGGCACAACCAGGCTGTGTCATATAGCACTGAAACGCTTGTGTCCCATAGAATGTGAACATAGCATTTCCTTTGCATTAACAACAAGATTCACACAAAATGGTGCATGTTTTCTGAGATCGCAGTGTATATTGCAGTTCTGAGGCCCATTCTTAAATTTGGTATTTGTTTTTCTCAAAATCAGCTTTTCTCTACATTCAGAACCAGAACCTGTTTTATTTTAAAGATATTCTGACAGATATTGCAATTAGGATTTATTAATATATTGCTAATAGCTGTGCTAATTTGTATTATAAAATAATCTGTATAGTGCATGTTGTTTTCTTGATGAAACAATAAAAAGATTTATAATAATATCAAGATATATTATAAAGGAGATATTCTTTTCTATAGAATGCTTTCTGTGGAGTGTTTTTACATTGAAAATTTGTATGTAAATCATTTCATTTGCATATCTAAATGTACATTTTTTTTTACTAAGATTCCAATCCAAAATATAGATAGTTTATCAGTAAGCAACTGGCAAAGATTCATTGTGATGTCTGTTATTTTGATAAGTCAGTTAGTTACTTACTTAGTTACTTGTAAGAACTAGGCCACATTCACATTACCATCCTCATTGCTCAAATCTGATTTTCTGATCCAAACTTTCTATCATTATGGTTCACGCTTGTTACAGTAAATGACTCAAACCTGTCATTAATGTGAACTGGTGTCCTGAAATGACCTGTGTGTGTACATCTTAATCAGTAACATCACGTGAATGAATCAGGTGCGTCATGAACAGCAAACAAACTAACGAGCAGATAATTAACTCTGATCAGCTCTCAGCTGTTCATTATTAGACGAGACGAAGGCAAAAAGGGTGAGATGTGTTGCTTTTCCATCGTTTACAGGCTATAACGTCGGTTGAGCACTGCTACCATGGTAACGCTGAATGATGCACGTGCGCAGTGGAAAAAAAAGCACAGGAATTCCGATCTGAGAGTTCTCATTAAGGCCGCATGGCCATGAATTGGATAATTATCTGATGTAGGACCACGTGTGAAAGTGGCTGGATTTGAAAAGATCAGATTTGTGTGTCCACACAGCTCTGAAAACATCAGATTTGTGCCACTTCCACCTAGTAATGTGAACGTAGCCCTAGTAACTAATGTGACAGCTAAATACGTAACAGCATTCCTAAAAGTTACTAAATACTAAATCCTTAATCTGTTATTAAGTAAAAACCAATGCTTAATAAATGGTTCACTGATATATCAGTAGTGGTTAATAAATGATTTACTAACAACATAATTAATTATTCATTTTCAACACTTATGTATGAAGTTGGAACTCATGAATTCTTTTATTCATCCAGACTCCTACAGAAACATCTGTGATTGGTCAGGATGCTCACAGCACATAATGAAACGTTTAGTGATTGGTTAGAGGCTAATTTGCATATTGCAGCTTTCTGTGATAGAACTGGCCGATATTGCAGTAACAATTAACAAACTATATGTTCTGCCACCCTATGCACATTAATAAAAGTGATGCATTGAATGACTTGATTCATACAGTTGTATGCAAAAGTTTGGACACGTTTTGTTTACTTTTTTTAAGTGAAAATGAGTCAACGGTGAACACAATTCTGCACATTTGGATGCACAGTTGAATTGAGGCCTGTGAAAATGCTATGACACATTTTGTATTATATGATGTGTTACTTTTTCAAATATGTTAAACTCAGTAAATAAATGGAAATTATCTGCTACAATTTGCAGAAATATGTCATATTTAAGTGTATTCTCTGTAGAGGATCTGTTAACTTATTTTCACTTAGAAACTCAACAAAAAATGTCGTTTGATTGGTGGTGTTTAAACTTTTGTATACGACCATATTATCGTTATTACCAAAAGTTATTAACCTGAAAGACACATTTATGTTGTAATACATTCAGGTGGAAATGATCTACTCAATGATTCAATGATTTGAATCAAGTAAAACTCAAAGCATCCTTTTTCTGTTTTCACAGGCAGTAAGAAATATCATGCATCCTCTTGGTGGCTGTTATTGACTTCAGATCTTTTCTCTCCCTTCTCTTTTCTCTCTCAGTGCTTGAGGAAGTCCGCTCTGCTGCCACCGCGTTTGCCCTTTGGCCAGCTTCGCTCCGTTTGCAACAATGTCCGGCTCCTACGATGAATCCGCCGCTGCTGACGAGGCCATGGACAGTTTTTGGGAGGTACAAAAACAAAACGGCACAAAAAAGCAAACAGTTCTTTCCTCTAATGGTCTTTCCACCAATTCATCCAGTGTCTATCAATAGTTTTGTTGTGCATTTGCCAGTTCAGAATCTGATTAGAGTTACAACACAGAGCCATGCTGTGTGCTTAATATTTGAATCTGCCAGAACTTCCACAATGGGCCCTATTTAAACAGAGCTGGCTTCTGGTAGGACTTTGCCACCTGCTGTGCCCCTTCAAGAACCTCTTTTTGTGGATAGTTTGGAGGGTGTCCAGTTATAGAACTTGTGTCATGTCAAGTCTTGCATGTCAAGTTGAATCAAGTCTCACCCTTTCTTTAAAAGAGTGTGGCTCTAATGAATGGTTGTTTGGCTACTGGATATACTGGGTATGAGTGTCTGTAGATAGCCTCAGCATCTTTGGCCTTGAAAAAGTAGGAACTCTGATACATTTAAAGTCAAAATCTATGTTTGGATCAATGCACCTGGTGTTTCTCGCACCTGCAGCGTCCCTGAGCTTCTTTATAGAGGTCCCAAAAGCAAGAGAGACCAGAGCCAGACTCATAAACTAGAACCAAGTAGTCCAACAGCCTGAATTCAGACTTATTAGATGCAAAGCACCTCATGGGAATTGCTTGTAACTCACTCACTCACTCACTCACTCACTCACTCATTCACTCTCTCACTCACTCACTCACTCACTCACTCATTCACTCACTCACTCATTCACTCACTCATTCACTCACACTCACTCACTCATCGAATCACTCACTCACTCACACTCACTCACTCACATATAGCATGCATTAGCTGTCGTATAGCTTTTGATGCTTCATTAAAGTGGTGCTTCACTTTTACACACCAACAGCTGCCTCTTGGCTTCTATTATTAGCATGTTTTGAGTCAGTGGGTTTCAGTTCATTTACCATATACAGAGAGATTGTTGTCTGTGGTAAGGAGTTTTGGTGTCTACCAGGTCTTGCAGGTGTTGTTTGGAGCCCCATTTTTCCTAATCTGTAAACATTTTTTTTGAACTCCAGTTTTGGAACTTAACATTTTTTTGCTTTATTTTCCCTTTGACTTTCCCCTTCCTTATGAAAGTGGATTGTCTTATCTAACTGGAAATGAAATAAATCAAGGGTGTTCTCTGACTTTTGCACAGTACTGAATGACTCATCAGCTCAGCTGGTCTAGATCAGTGTTTCCAGGGGTGTAAAAGTGCATCAATTCATTGTGACACATCAGTCTGAAGGTGTCATTGATTTTGGTATGTTAGAATGCATTATAGTTGAATAAAACAGTATTCAATAAAGTGAGCACTGGTGAGTGACTGGTTTTTATAGATCTGCTTCTCAGTGTTACTCTGATAGGCTTCTAACAGTATTACTGGTTAATCTAAATACTTTTGTCCAATGACAGGCTCATTTTTCTTTTTTTGATAAGGTCTCCCTTTAAGTTAGGGTTCCTCTCAAGGTTTCTTCCACCTGCTCTTAGAAAGTTTTTTCTTGCTCTCTCCTTGGCTTGTTTATTGAGGATTTGTGACGATGTCCGTTGTAAGTGCCATCTAAATAAATCTTGATTTGACTTGAATATTCTATGGTCACTAGTCTGTATCCCACTATTGTGTCAATAGCTCCTGCAGCCACATATATGTACTCTGTATATATCTGAGTGAAAAAACAAAAAAATATTCTCAAATCGAGTTGTGGTGAAATTTGATATGTTATGAATCATTTCATTGAAGCAAATTAGCTTCTCTCTAAGACTATACATTCTCATATTTAAGCTTTAAGAGTGGTTCAAATCTTTTTCTAGTTGAATAAAGGAAATATAGACAGATTACTGCAGCCGTCTAAAGGCGACCACACACCACAGATAGTACAGTCTACAAAACAGAGCTATAACACATTGGAAATCTCACAGAAAAAAACAGATAAACATTAAGCTGAGAAGTGTAAACGTACAGTCTACTTGTATAAATTCAATAAATAAAATAAAACTTTCAACATAATTTAGTACATTCATCATGTTTGATTCACAAAGTTTGTTTTCAAGCTAAAAGCTTTGAGGTGAAAAAGTTTGGTAACAGATGATTGGCAGTTAGTCATCTTAAAATGAATTGCCCTTATGAGTGCCTTTAGAAATGTCAAGGCACATCACCTGCTGTGACTCATGTGGTCTGTGGTCTTGCTCTGGATTTAATTGAACACTGTGAGACCGACGGAAATATGTAAATTTTATAAAGTTCGCCGTGTTTTCTGTCTGAGTGTGGAGAAGACGCACAAGGCTTGCTCGATTCCTTGGTTAATTTAGAGGAATGATAAAGCATGATTGGTGTGTGACATACGGTAGATCACTTTCTTATATGTGAAGATAAACGCAACAGCAGCACTGAGAAATCACCTCATTAACACTTTTTTTTATGTCGGCCTAAAGAGGTTAATGCAGTGATAGAGAAACATTGACACATTTGAGATGTTGACACTGAGCATTTCTGGAATTCGCTGACTGGTTTCTTATCAGCACCGAATGTCAGTGAAGAAGTGCCCATGTTTATGAATGATCTCAAAATTTTGGCTGCTGCATGTTGTCTGCTTTTAGAGTCCTACATGAAACAAGATAAATTCAAATGAGCTACAATGCAAGCAGAACACCTCAGCTTTTTTAGCTATTTTTTTAATATTTATTGAGTAGTGCCTCACAATCTTCAGTATCAGACTTAACTGAAATGCTCTTTCTCTTTGATGTGTCCAGGCTTTGTGCATGCCTGCAGCTCACATTTTAGTGTTTTTTTCTGCTGCAACATGTCTGATTCAACTGATCAGCTAGTAAACAAGCCTTTCGATCTGGCTGTGCTGAGATATTTCAGGAGCAAGACTGTGGAAAGCTGCTGTAGCTGCACACTCAGGTGTTTCTGACAGTTCTGTGGAAAACTCAGAGATTTTTCTGAAAATAGAGCTTTCATTTGTCTCAGTCGCAGTGTTCGCGATTTAAATATGCAAGCTGTGCAGCCAAGTAAAATATGACTCATGTCATGGTTTACACCGTCGATGTTCAGCATGATTTGTTATTTATTTTCATTGTCACTCAACACGCTGCTCTGTGTAGCTAATCAGAACTCAACAACCCAGGGTCCATAAGGAAACTGGAATAGTAATTATTCTTATTCTTCCAGAATTAAAAAGAAAATATACAGTTAAACTTGATTTCACCGTTAAAAAACAAAACATGATCAATTACAGTTTGCATTATTGATAAAAAAGTATTTTTAAAGGCTTCCTAGTTTTCCAGGAGAGTTTTCTGGAATCTATTTAAAGGGGAAATCCTCTGACTGTTCAAAGTTTCTGCAAAATTCCAAAGTTGAGAAATGATTCAATGTAAAGAAGCTAACAAACTCTTTCTTTACAGTGGTGGTGATAGGAACCTGGAGTCACAATATCTAGAACACAAATATGACCATTTTACTTACTATCCAAAACAACCAGTGAACCTGCATGTGTCTTCTGAGTTTTTATATGTAATGTTGATGATGGTAAAAGAGTGGGAAATCTGAAAAAAAGAGTTTTCTTTGGGACTATTTTACCTTACAACAACCTCCTTGTACCTTTCTGCCATGAGCATATTTAAAAACTTTTAAAATTGTATCCCAAAACTATCGTTAAATGTGTCTTGTCAGGCAGTGCATTCATAACCATTTAACTTTCTGTGAGGGAGCTTTTAGAGGCTCTTCAGACGTCTGGTTCCTATCACCTCCACCGCGAACAATTCTGACTCTTTCTCTAGAACTGTGATTTTCACATTAAATGACTCTGAATGGCTTTGTTTACATTGTAATGACTGAATTAAGCAGAAATTTTGAAAAGTTTGGTGGAGTTCATTCCCCTTTAATGTTTTGCTTATTTAATGTGTAAGAGGACAGCTTATTCTTTATCATATGTCTTTACAGCTCAGCCAGCCTGTGAATCTGCACATAGCTGCCTTGTGTACACAGTGTGTGTGTGTGTGTGTGTGTGTGTGTGTGTGTGTGTGTGTGTGTGTGTGCAGTGAAGCAGAGGATTAAAGTAACCGGAGCTCACACACTCCAACACAAAGCCACGGCAGCCATTGCATAACTCCACATGCACCAGCACGAGCCAAACTGCCAGTTCCCGCCCCCTTTCTCCTCTCAGCCCCCTTTATAACCCTCTCTGTCGCCCCCTGTAGACAGTGATTGAGAGGACATGCAGAGGTGTGAATAACAGTGCACAAACAGGAAGAGGAAGAATGTTAGAATATTTGACATCTTTGTGCAATAGCTGAATAAACTGCATGTAAACACTTTTTCAGTTTTTTAATAATTCTACAATCAGTTCTTATTTGGTGTAGTTCATGTATTTGCTGTGTAAAAGCGACATTCCAGGTAAAAAATCAAATTTAGTTCAAATTTTGTCTGTCTGAATATATTACAACATAAATGTGTCTTTCTTTAGTACAGACACAGGCAGCTTATGTGCAGCAGTTAGTGTTGTGCAAAAAGCATATTAAAAATAATCAGCGGTTTCCACAGTTAAGTAATCTCAAACATACTTGCTCATGTGGTTTTTAACACTGTATGAAACACTATTATCTATGTAGATCAATGAATATATTTTTATATAGTTAAAACCTCTCCAAAACTAAGACACCAGACATGTTTTGGCCCATCACTGCATTTCAGATAAGAGGTAAAATGCATAAATTAGATTTTTCCAGACTCTCACTTTAAAAGGGAATTCAACCATTATCTACACGATTAGACGGTTAAGATGTAAACAGAGTCATTCGGAGTGGTTTGGTGTGAAATGCTCTGTTCTAGAGAAGTTTAGAGTCAGAATTGTTTACAGTAGTGGTGTTAGTAGTGCACATGTCTTTAAGATTTAAATGCCTCTAAATGTTCCCTCATAGAAAGCTGTAACATAACATGTTTTGCCTGATGTGTTACAATAGTTCTGAGTTAACATTTTGGTATAAAATATATTTTGCCAAAAATTAATGGTATATGCAGCAAGGCAAAAAGTCTCCAAATGATTTTTTTTTCAGATTTATCACTATTTCACCTATTATCATCAGTATTATGTATAGTTCACTGGTCATTTTGGATAGAATAAATAGATAGACGTAGACATCATAAAAAAGTTATGTAGCCAGAATTCTGTTTTTAGGAGGCCTGGGTTACAGGTTTAGGGGGCAGCTAGAAAGCATTACGTTCCATAAACAACCACTAACTAGCCTACTAAATTATTAATTGCCTATAAATTAATGATTGCTAACTTTGCGTTTAACTGCCATGTTACCATAACAACCAACAGAATACAACATCAGATACAGACTAATTGACTAGAGTCTTACTTTTTAGAGCTCTAGGAATAGATGTCTGGGATGAATAGCTGAAGCTGACTGCAATTTTCTCATTTTCTTTTCTTCTTTGCTATGCTAAGCTATAGTCTACATTAGGACCTACTGCAGCTCAAGTTATTGACAGTATTAAAAAGAATATCTATATCAGCATATAACATGTTTATGTTTCAGTGTAGGTTATTTAACATCAAAACATTGGCATATATCTAAGTGATTAGCCTAAATCTATAAAGTTAAAATAATTAAAATAATTATTGAAGTAGAAGTAGCTGAGCTACTTCTTGACTTAAAAGTCTGTGGTCCAGAAATTCCGGCAGTACTGAGTTCCCCTATAGAACTGCTGTGCAACGTCGAGTATATATGACATCTATCAGCATAGGAACTGAGAATTTAATTTAGACTAAGTTCTTCTCTTTTTGGTCTAAAATAAAATGCTACAGTTCCAAAGTGAGTGGTGTAACAGTAAAGCAGTCCAAGAGCTGAACCAACACAACGGAATAACATGATGTCCCTAAAAAGGAATTAGAAACTAAATAATAATAAATAAAATATAATTTAGCAAAACTAGAATCACTTTCACTTAATATACCTGACTTGAAATAAAATTGTTATCATTTGAAAGTACAAATCCATCAAAATTTTACTGAAATAATTATGAATATAATTAGTTACTAACCACTTCTACTAATGTGTAGTCCTTGGCTCCTGGGGACCCTAGGCAGCTGCCCACTTTAGCTTAGTGAAAAGTCCAGCCCTGCTCACTGCAGAGACAGTGTCAGGCTGTGTTTATATATTGACATTGAAAAAACACTGTTTTGTGCCTTATTGCATAATTGGTTTAAAAAAAAAACTTAGATAATGCACAACCAATGGCAGCATGCAGCCATGTAAATGTTGCCATGGTGATACAAAAAAATGCTGCATAAAAGTTGTCATGGTGATGTAACAGTTACCATTTAAATATTGCCATGGTGATGCAAAAATTGCTGTGTGAAAGTTGCCATGGTGATGCAAAAATAGCTATGTAAATGTTGCCATGGTGATGCAAAAATTGCAGTGTAAATGTTGCAATGGTGGCCAGCAAAAATTGGTGATGAGTGGTGATACAAACTCAAACTCAAACTTTGGGTTCACCCTGTACTATAAGAGTGCAAGACAAAAAACATGAATAGTTTCTCTACAGTGTAGCATTTCAGACCAAATCACACTGAATGACTGTTTATGTCTTTATTAATCCATTTAATTCTGTACAATTTTTCGAAAAATCATTGAAATTCCCCTTTAAGTCAAATTCTGCTAATCGTATCTTTGTTGATTAAGATTATGCAGATTATGTCTTTTGATTAGGGAAATAGACATGTTTGCATTAAATGTCTTTTTTCACAAATGTAGATATATTAGTACTTTTCTTCTGCCACAGTAAGTCCTTGAAAATTGAGTTTTCTCAGCCATCTCTGACCTCCCTGCAGGTCCACACTGACCTAAATTGATCTGACAATGACTTATTATGAATGATGACCACTAAAAAAGACAGATGACTCTAGAATCATGTTGATCAATAAGGCGCATTACTGTGAAGTCAAGCAACCGCTTTGAGTGCATCTTTTTCCGTTTTGCGCAGGTGGGAAATTACAAGCGTGCCGTCAAGAGAATTGACGACGGCCATCGACTCTGCAATGATCTCATGAACTGCCTTCAGGAACGTGCCAAGATTGAAAAGGCGTACAGTCAGCAGTTAACCGAATGGTCCAAGAGATGGAGGCAACTTATCGAAAAAGGTCAGCACATCTTTCACATCTAGAACAGCCCAGACACAAATCTACTGAGGTTTCTATATTTATACATGCATTAGTTTACGCATTTAATGTAGATGCAAATGGCATTGTGATATTATTCACCTTCACATTAAATTGATCTCTTATTTTCTGCTATTTAAATATAAATACATCAAAATAACCTGCGTTTTTATGTGTATCTGTGTGTCTGCTGACTGCAGGGCCTCAGTACGGCTCTACGGAGCGGGCCTGGCTGGCTGTGATGACGGAGGCAGATAAAGTGAGTGAGCTTCATCAGGAGGTAAAGAACGGCCTGTTGAATGAAGACGTAGAGAAGGTGAAGAACTGGCAGAAAGACTCCTACCACAAACAGATGATGGGTGGCTTCAAGGAGGCCAAAGAGGCAGAAGAGGGCTTCAAGAAGGCGCAGAAACCCTGGGCCAAGAAACTTAAAGAGGTATGCACAGGCTTAGTTACAACTGGGGTAAACCCCTCATTCACTCTTCCTGCCCAGCTGTTGTCATCTGGATAATAGACATAGACTTATGACATGAGTTGATGGATAAAAATCCATCTGAAGTAGAGCATAGAACTAAGCCACTGATACTGGCTATGCTACATCAACTTCTGTAGTTATATTATGTTCATTTTCATGATTATGCTATGTCCAATGTTACATTTAAGACACTACACCCATGTCAGTAGTTATTCTACAGTCATTCCTATGGTTTTGCTACACCTATTCCTATGGTTACACTACCTTCATTTCCATGTTTATAGTGCTACATACATACATCCATTTAGCATTAGGTTTTGCGACATCCAAATCTATGTTTACATTGCACCCATTTTCTTAGTTACACTGCCATGTTGCCATGTTTATGCTACATTCATCACCATGGTTGTGCTACATCCATTTCAATATCATGTGATTTCCATGGTTACTGTACACCCATTTACATAGTTAAATTACCTTAATTTCCATTTTCTTGGCTTCTCTACATCCATTTCCATTGTTTTGCTACATCCATTTCCATCTATTTTCATGGTTACTGATTTCCATGATTACGCTACATCCTTTTCAGTGGCTATGCTACATTCACCACCATGTTTACGCTACATTCATTACTATGGTTGTGCTACTTCCTTTTCTATGGTTGCGTGATGCCCATTTCCATGGTTACTGTACACCCATTTCCGTGGTTATGCTACCTATATTTTCATAGCTAGCTATAAGGCTCTCTTTGGTAATAGAGTGCTAAAAACATTGCAGTAGCTGGAATTTTCACTAATAGTACAAGCTTAGCATATTTGAGTTTCTTAGTGTTAGGTTGTAGACCATTAGTTGATGTTATGTAATTATGCAAGGGATGTACTTGCTAATGTTAAATGTACTGCGTACATGAGCCGTGTGGAAAGAATTATTGCTTTTTCTTTTTTCTGAATGTTGTGTTTTTCCCCAAATACACCTAAGCCAGACTTCACCTGAAAACAGCAGGGGAGTAATCTGCACTACGAGTGTCCTCTGAATTGACCCATGTATCTAAATCAATAACACAGTGACACAGCTTTAAATGTACAGCTGTGTCTGTGGAAGGGCAGCGTACAGGTTAGGTATTAGCTTTAGCTTATGAAGGGGAACCCTGAGTGGATAATGCTCGACTGATGCACAGCTGACACCAGTCATTGGGTCTGCTTTTCAGTTCTAATAGACTCTTCGTTTAGTAACCAGCACACAGGAGACCAGCAGTATGAGGTTAAGGGCCATTTTGGGAGCGTTTTTTTGCTCTAAAAGTAGGTTATGTGGTGAATTCAGTTCTTCAAAAGCAGTTCCTGATGTACATTTGGTTCTGTTATTATAGAAAGAACTACTATTAAACATATCATTACTATTGTAGGAAAATGTTGTTAAGAAGGAAAAGTCATTCTTAATTTAATGTATGGTACTGTGTAAAAGTCAGAGACCACCTTTTATTCGTTTAATTTCCTTCCAAATGTAATTTACAGTCAAATGTAATGGGATTTCATTCATCATGCGAGTGGTTTGAATTTGAATGCTGTGTGTATGTGTGCAGATGGAGACTGCTAAGAAGACATACCACATGGCCTGTAAGGAGGAGAAGCTGGCGGCCTCGCGAGAGGCTAACAGCAAGGCCGAGGCGTCCGTCACCCCTGACCAGCAGAAAAAGCTCCATGAGAAAACAGAGAAGTGCAAACAGGACGTGCAGAAGGTGAGAAAGAGCTCAAGCAGCGGCAGATCCAGAGCTTTTTGACCGAGGCGGTCAAGGTGGGACACAAAATTTGTGTGGGGTAGCCATGGCATTGTGAGATTTGAGTGAGTGCCAGGTGATCAAATAGCATAAATACATTAGTTTGGCACAGTTCACAATTCAGCCAAAGCCAAAGTAAAAGACAAATACTTTGACTACATCATTTTTGTAGTTTGTTTACATTTTAATACTGGGATATAGTACTAAATAAATTTGCTTTTATTTCCACGGCACAGTGAAAATGGGTTATTTTTAAATTTTCATTTGTAATAATGTTTAGGATTTAGGCCAATTAAGTTTCAAATCCAATTCTTAGATCTGCCTCTGAGCTCAAGGAGGATAGGGGTAAATGATTGACATGTTGAGTCATGAAATAATCACCACAGCTCTCTGTCGTAGTTAAAGCTGTGATTGGTTAGGTTTACCCTTAAACTTTTTTTTAATCTGTTATTAATCTTTCAGTAACTAGTATATATTATGTGGTAACTTCTGTGAAACTAATCTGCAAGTTCTGTAATTATGAGAGTGAGGAACAAAATATGGTCCTACAAACAGACCCTTAGAGTTTAGGGTTTAAGGAACAGAGTGTCAAACTGGGTTCTTTGCAGGTCACAGCTCTGTAGAGATTAGCACTTTCCCACTTCAAGGCTCATAAAGGCCTTGTTAATTAGCTGATGAGTTGATTTTAATGAGGAGCGTTAAAGTCTGCAGAGCTGTGACCTGGATGGAGCTCAGATTGACACCCCTGGTTAAGAAGCTGATGAAATCTTTTTGGTTTCATTACACGTGGTCTTCAAAGATTCATACACTTGTGTGAAAAATGCAGATCGTTTCTCCACTATGTAGCTGCTTTAAGACACGGTGCATCAGAAATACACTGATCACACTTAGAATAAACAAAATTAACTCAGTACTATTTAAGACCAGTCTAGGTGACAGATTTTGAGTTGTGCAGTGGTTAATCTCATTGGGTGGATTAGAAATCTCTATTTGCGGAGAGTTGACAGGTGAGGAACAGATTACGTCGGCAACAAACTTATTTGTGAAGGAGAGAGTTCATTATAGATATCTGAAGAGCTCATAGTAACTTTCTTTTGTCAGCGAATGTGTTGAGGCTAATGAGAGCAAAATGAATAGAATGATTTTATCAGACCACTTTTCATTTAACTGAGAGTTTCAGGTAAGTTTACAGTCTAGCAAAGCTAAAGCTAATGCCAGGGTTCGAATTGAGAGGGGGGTAACAGCGGAATTTGGCGTCAACATGCATGAATCCATGGACCTAACCTGCCTTGTGTGAACAGTCCAGGCTCGTGGAGGTAGTTCTTATCACACTTTAGGCTTCTTAATACCAATCAATTTGAATGCAGCCTATTTGACCATTTACATCCCTTCATGGCCACAATATACCATCTACTGATGGCTACTTCCACCATGATTATGCACCGTCACAAAGCAAAAGCCGTCTCAAACTGGTTTCATGAACATCACAATGAGTTCAGTGTTCTTCAGTGGTCTTCCCAGTCACCGGAATTGAATCCAGTAGAACACTTTTGGGATGTGGTAGAATGGAAGATTCACAGCGTGACGCCTTACTGGACATTCCTCAGCAGACACAACTGCTTTCTTTGTATCTCTGGTGGCCATGAATCATTTTGATGGGGAGGAAATTGTATCATGTAAAGTGTTAATGTGTTTGAACTGAAGATGAAGAGATCAGTCTCGTTCTGCTGAATTATTAAACGCCTATTACATCCTGCATGAGGCTAAGCACACAGATCTTTTGGTCTTTAAATACACATCAGTCAGTGCCTGAAAGAAAGATCACACAGGCAAAATGAGACAATGTTTGAAAAGGAACATAAGTTTAAAAGTGCTCCTCTCTCTCTCTCTCTCTCTCTCTCTCTCTCTCTCTCTCTCTCTCTCTCTCTCTCTCTCTCTCTCATGTAATGCCAAAGGTTTTATCAGAATGACCATATTTAATTTTTTAAACTGCAAGCTCACTATTAACACATGGCTATATTTAAAGGGTCCGTGTCCTACATTTTCTTGTATTTTATCTTTTTCTTTGAGGCCCATGTAAATTGTTTGTGTGGTTTATGTACCATAATGTTCATGTACCTCTCCACTGAGAACAGATTTTACAAAAATACATTTTGGCCAAAATTTTCTCAAAACAACTGTAAAACAACTTCTCAGGCACCAGCTAGCATATTCATAACAATTTCATGTAACAACTTTCTGTGAGGGAGCTTTCAGAGGCATTAAACTCTTCAGACCACCACTGCACAGTTCTCTAGAATGGAGCATTTCACATCAAACCAATCCCAATTACTTTGTTTACATCTTAGTGATTGATTTCTTATAGGGAAGAAGGCAGAATGCATTAATATGACAGGATCTGTAAATATGTGTTTCTGTGTGTTATAGGCCAAGGAGAAGTATGAGAAGTCTCTAGAGGAGTTGGGGAAGTGCCAGCCGCAATACATGGAGTGCATGGAGCAGGTGTTTGACCAGTGCCAGCAGCACGAAGTGAAGAGACTTACCTTCCTTAAAGAGGTGCTGCTGGACATCAAACGCCACCTCAACCTCACCGAGAACCAAAGGTCAGTCTAATCTATCCCTACACTAATCTCAGAGAGGAAGTCATAACAACCAGGAGGGAAGTAGGAAGGTGCTTTAAGGTGAGGGGGCAGAGATTTGAAGATATAAATACAGTGACATAATGCAAAATGTTTGTTTGTTTGTTTTTTACTATAATTTACATCAGAGGCTCTAACATGATAAGAGATATGATATATGATATACATATACCATGCTGTGCAAATGTCAGAGACCACCACAGATTGATTTAGTTTCCATTTAAACTGGTCATTAAGTACAAATTATTTATTTTTTCAGCCTCAGATTAAAAAACAGAAAAATATATTTAACAGACAATTACACAGAAACCTCACCAAATATCAGAATATCAGATATCAAATGTCAAAAGTTTCAGCATTTATTGTTTTCATGTTCTTTATTACCGCTTCCAGACCTGCTTTTAGTTTTTCAAAATATCTGCAGGGATATTTTTTCTACAAAGTTCAGTCTTAGAAATTGGTTGCGTTTTCTGCTTCTTACGATCCAAGTACTCCCAAACACATTCAGGGAGGTCTGGACTCTGGAGTGGACAGTCCATTGTTTTGTCTATTTTCTTTTCTCAGTGAAGCTTCTTGACAGCTACACATCCTTTCAGACTCATAACGCTGAGTTGTCTTCCCACAGTGGAAGAATGGACAGAAACACCTGTGGATGTTTTCAGATCTGAAGCAGCTTGATTTTCTTCTCTCTCTCAAAGATATAAGCTTTATGTGCTGTTTATCTGATGGGGACAGTTTTGGTGTTCACTAGGTCATGCAGATGGTTGTTAGGAGTCCAATTCTTTAGCTTTTAGTCATTTTTTGAATGATCTCATATCTAATCTTCTCAGAAATATCTCCTGAAAAATGAATAATTTGTTATCAATGGCTGTTTTGACTGGAAATGAAATAAATGAATGGTGGTCTCTGGCTTTTGCACAATACTGTAAATTCTTCATTGAAAAACAATCTAATACAATCTAAAATCTAGGGATGAACTATGTCCAGAAAATTGGTTGTTATTCCTTTATTGTTGCACCTGTCATGTATGATTCCTTACCAGCATGTCTGTGTGTGTGGGTTTTTACAGCTATTCCACAGTGTACCGTGAACTTGAACGCACCATCCTTGCTGTCAGCACGCAGGATGATCTGAAGTGGTTCAGCAACAACCACGGCCCCGGCATGCATATGAACTGGCCCCAGTTTGAGGTACACAGCCCTTTACCCCTTACCTGCCCTCAATGTTATTGTAACATCAGTAACGCACTATGGGTCACATACTGCTTCTTGGTAAGGTTGAAGTTTAGAAAAATATCAGATATGGAGGAAAAGGGCTAGAGCTGGTTGAAACCGCTCTGTTTTCTACATGCAGTTTCAGGAAATATACTTATAAAAGCAAAAGAGCATAAAAGATAATTCAAAACCAATCCCTGCTTACATATTCCTCTGTGAAACCATTTTATATCGTCATATACAGTATATACTAGTGTTAAAAAGTTTGGAGTCACTTCCTTATTTTTAGACATTTTATTCAATATTTCAAGAAATAAGAATTTATTAAATAATAAATAATATCATGTAATTATCAGTCATATTACAGTCATATGCAATTTTTTGGGCACCCCTGATCAAATGACATGTTTTGTTGTTTTTCTGAAAGAACAGAAAATATGAAAATGTGAAAATATATTAATGCATTCTCTACAGAGAGCACACTTGCGCACATATTAATACACAATTACTGTTTATTTGCTAAATTTAACATAGAAATTAACAAATTGTGGCACACTCAGCTATAGAGAATGTGCTAATTTACTCCTGCAGCCAACAATAAGGTTAGTTAATTAACCGAAATACAGATTGTAAGCAGGAACCCAGAAAAAGATAAGCTAGAAGGAAAGACAACACAGAGGCGGTAAGTAAAGCAAGGGGGAAGATACGCACAATAGGCAAATAGATGGAGCCAGGAGCCAATAAAATCTTGTCTCCTGTGAATCTCTCCAGCTGCTAATGGCAACAAACTAAACTAACTTTCAAAACATTGATTCAACTGAAAGTTATCATTTGAATACATGAAATTGTCAAAAAAGTTGAGTAATGTGGGATAAATATATGTCTCATTCCAGGTGGAAATACCCTGAGACCTTTAACAACACAAATCGTTCTCTTTTGTTTGACTTGATTGGCCTTAGCTGATTTAACACTTGGGATAATTATGGTGTTTCAAAGATATTGAGTACATTTTTAAAATATTTTTTAAGTACAGCATCACCAGCTTTCAGCCTTTTTTCAGTATTGAAATTGTGATCTCTGCTTTTGAATTATGTTGAATTCTGGATGTAACCTGATTCTCGATGTTCTACAGCTTTCTCAGTCATTTTACAATCTTCTAAATCTCTGTTCACCTTTCTGGACACCAGCATTTCTTCATTTAAAGAGATTGATTGCGAAATACTGTATATCCATTTGTAGAAAAATGTAAACAATTTGCTACAAAAATAAGGGTTTTTGAAAAGAATAACAACAGACTTTAAAGGAAAACACATTTTTATTTCTCTACTAAAGGTGGTGGCATAAATCATAACATAGCGTTAATATTTCTTGTATGTGTAAAGCCCACTTCCTTCAGCAAATATCAGTAAAGAAAATCTTGAAGATGGTCAATAATTTGTTTTGCAACCCTTCATTTACAGCTGAGTAAAATCCTACTAATTATATGAAACCTGTGATGTTGAACAGGACATGTAAGAATAATTATATACACTTATCTACAACTTAATTAGTTTTAAACTACTGAAAATATTAATGTGAAACTTTTGAACAGTGCTCAGCGGAAACTCACTTGTCTGAAATAGTCTTGCATAGTGCTAAAATGTCCTGATGCAATGTTTTGCAAAAATGCTCAGAGAGGCAGACGGGGCCTTGTTTAATTTCCCCAGGCTAAATAATACATTCAGTGACACTGCATGATGCCAGGGTTTATGACTTTTTTATGCTCTGCTTGTCTAAGGAGTATAACCCTGACGCCACTAACGCAGTGGCCAAGAGGGAGAAGAAGAAGCCGGATGGAGTGGCTCCTGCTACGCCCAGTACAGAACACGGTGGACAGCCAGGTGACCGTGGCAGGTAAGACAACCTAAGGACCTTAACTTTTCATTCTCAATTCAGCACTGTTTACTCATGCTGGAACTGAATTCAAGCAGTGCCAACATTAAAGCTTAGGAGTCACAAGTATCACAAGCAGTGACTAAAGTGTGAATTAATAAAGTGTATTAATTCATATGAACATGCACAGTTTTAATGGAGTGGCCAGTGTCCTCCCTGAAATCTGGCTGAAATTTGGCAATCCCAGATACCACTCCAAAATTTCTGAACGCCGTTGGCTTCCACCTCGCTGTGGGGTGGGTGTTTGTAGCTTTAAGAGGAGAGTTGTTTTGCTATTGGTAATAATTTTCTAGATCCACCACTGCATATGAAGTATTTTTATTTATAATATATTTGCCATGTTTATGCTGCCCGTTTTCCTGCTACTGTAACCGTTTTTTTTTGTATTCTGACCACCTAATGCTCTTTTATGTGTTTCAATACTGCACAACATTTGAATTAGTATAGCGAAATGCTAGTAGTAACCTGACTTCTTAAGGTTAACCCATTAGCAGTGACCAACATACATGCATTGGGAAGTCATCTTCATTAATTAATGCCCTTTTTGTTTAAAGTCTGATTCGCAGCCAATCAAACTCTTGCAAAGAAAGATACTGTCAGTGAAAGCATATCTGGGTATGAGAATGTCAGTCATATCCAGTAACATCTGTAATATAATGTCAGTCATATCCAGCACATCTGTAATATAATTCTGAAATATATTTACATATGTTGCTGACATGTAAGTGCACATTAAAAATACATATATTTAATATATTTAATCTACATATAATATCTTCACGTCTACATAAATGTCACACAGGTTTATGTTTCAATACTACAAAATGACACAATGTCCTGTCTTAAGTGGGGCTTAAAGCCTGGTTTCCCACACGACCATTACTATTTCTTTGTCACTTAAATAGACTTGAGACACAATATGGCACATATATTTTGTATATGACAAAATACATGTATTTTTCTACATTTGATTTTTTTTGTGCTAAGCTGTTATATTGAAATATATTGGTATATATTTTGGATGTGAAGAATTATATGTACATATATTTTTTCTGCATTTGGCATTCTAGTTCATAAGACATCACATAAGACACACCTTAAATGTAAATACTGGCTTATATTGCACATATATTTTGGATGTGACGACATATGTACATATACAGGGTGAAAAGATTCATTCGATTTCAAAATGATTTATTTCACTTGTAAATCATTACAGAACAATGCAGTAAATTGTAAATGGTTTAATTGAGCATAAAGTTTATTATGTAATTTTACAAGCGCTCAATATGACGTCCTCCAGCTGTACGGACATCAACGCGATAGTCAAATTCATCCCATACTCGATTGAGCATGTCGGGTGTCACTGAAGGGAGCTGAAGGGAGCCATCTTCCGGTGACATTCAGAAACTCTATGACCCCCTGTTTCAGTTGGTATGTGACTGGTTCCTAGGCGCCTCACAGTTGTAAAATATGGAACTTTGAAATCAGATGAATGTTTTTGAATCACCCTGTATTTTTCTAAATTTGGCATTCTGATGCTAAGACATCACATATATTGGCATATATTGCACATATACTTTGAATGTGAACAAATATATGTACATATATTTTTCTACTTTTGGCATTCTGCTGCTAAGACATAAAATATATTGGTATATATTGCACATATATTTTGGATGTGGACAAATATATGCACATATGTTTTTCCACTTTGACATTTTAATGCTAAGACATCAAAATGTCAGTTGACATTCAACATACATGTGCAATATATGCCAATATAATATATTGCACATATATTTTGAATGTGAACAAATATATGTACATATATTCTTGTGCTGTATGGGTTGTCTTGTAAATTCTGTCTTGGTGTTTATATGTTTTTGTAATGTAAGTCTTGCACAACATTCACTGAGATTGCTGCCTTATCAAATAATTGGTTTTGGGTCCAAGTTCTAGACATTGTAACTCTCAGTGGATTCTGTAGAGTGTGATGACATAAATGTAGCTTTACTTTGTATTACTATTAATTACCATGTTTAGCATGTCCCCTTGTTTCTCCCTGCAGTGTGAGCAGCTATGATAAGAACCAGGCCTACTCTGCAGAATGGTCAGATGATGAACAACCTGCTGGATTCTCGGGCAACGAAACCAACGGCGGTGCCAACTCGTTCGAGGATGACAACAGGGGAGGCGTGAGAGTGCGGGCGCTGTATGACTATGAAGGACAGGAACAGGACGAGCTAAGCTTCAAAGCAGGTAAAGTATACAGCTAATGTAAAGTGCATGTTAACCTGTAATGCTAGCATAACAATCATAACAATAAATCAGTGATGTTAATTTAATAATGTTAATGCATCTTTAGCAGAGCCTGCTCAGAGAACAAGTCCTTTCATGGTTAACATTAGCAGGAGAGTTGACTCTATTAGCAAAACAAGCAAACATTAGCTTTGCCATGATTTGTATTGCACAGTTAGTTAACACCTTAAAATCCTGGGCTTGTTACATACTAAGGCTTATTATTCAGTAACTACACGGACGACAGTGCAAACTGGTTGAGTTAGTCTTAGGTTATAGAAGTATATGGTAAAAGTTTGGCCATTTAAGGGATTAAATCTTAAAAAAATATTGAACAGGGTTATTTTAAAATGAAATATACAGCTGCTGTGAAGTGACCCAGTCCAGTGGAAAGTGGAACAGCTATACTGCGCTACTGACTCAAGATCCTGGCCAGAGTACAGTGTAATGAGCAGTTTCTACAGAAGGACTGAGTCACAGTGATAACAGGGTCAGCTACAAAACAAAGAGCTGCTAGTCCACAGGAAGCTGAGATTGTTGTGGTTAGATGGTATAATTGGTCCCTGGACAGCTGCTGCCCAAAGGGGTATTTCATCCAGAAATTCTAATGTGGCCAGCAATGAATGGAAACTGGTGAGTACCAGTTTGCTTTTAACCATTGGGCCTTATTCACCAACCGTTTTTAAGAAGAAATGTCTTCTTAAAACCTACTTGCACAGTTTTCCCGAAGATTCTGACAATCACCAATGTTCTCTTGTTTGAGATTTGTTCTGTGGTAAGAACAGAATCTACACACATTCAACACCACAAAGGTGTGAACAATTCTGTGGTTTAAGAACACGTCATGAATCTGATGTAGACTTTTTCTTAGGACCTTTCTTAAAAACAAATTTAAGAAGAAACTTAGGAAGATATTAGTGAATGAGTCCCATTATTTGCAGCATTCCTACAGATATCACTGGAGACAAAAAGCATGTTCTAATTATTACGTTTAGTTTATTTGATGATTTGAATGAACTTGTTTTATCAAAAAAAAAACATTTCTGTAAATGTAATTAATCAAAATTTCAAATTAATCAAAAAACAGCTTCTGCTGTTGTTATTTTGCTGCTCACTGATTTACCTGTAGTTCTCTAATGTTACTCATATTACTAGTATTGCCACTATCAGTGGAGAGTTTTGCTTGTAAATGACTCTTTTGACTTAGTATACTTCACTGAGAAAATTCGCAGCATTGCAGTGGCTGCAAACGACTGGTTTTATCAATAGAGCCATCAACAGAACTTACCATTTAATAGCTATATTTGAAAGAAAGAACCAAACTGCAGAGTCAGGCATAGCAACATACAGTGTATACAGCAGCTGTGCTTTTTTTGTGTCAGTCTAGGAAAATACATTAACAGAAATAAAACAGTTAGTGGTATTAGCAATTTATCCTGTTAACACATTATTAACACATTATTAACACATAATTAGTTCTGATATTCAGTAAACCAAGACAAGTTTCACTTTTTCTTTTCTCCACAGGAGACGAGCTGATGAAGATCGAGGAGGAGGACGACCAGGGCTGGTGCAGGGGCCGCCTGGACAACGGCCGGACGGGCTTATACCCAGCCAATTACGTTGAGGAAATCTAATCACACGAGGAGGACACACCATTGGAGGCAGCTCCGATTGTCTGATCTAATAGCCCGGCGTGAAGCCAGAGACTTTTAAGAGCAACACATACTTTGCCCAACAAAATGCGCTAAGCAGTCTTTGTCTAAAAACAAAAAAAGAGTCTTAGTAATGTTAAAAAATATATATTTACGCAGTATATAGGCCTCCGGTCTGCGAGGGTGGGAAGATCATACACGATATATTGAGAAACATTATCGTAGTATATTTACAATACACATATACTCATCTATAAATGACCCAACCATATGCAAGTGCAGGGATACATTTTGACATGTTCTTTTTTTGTGGATATGAATTATGTGCAGCTTTCATGAAATGTCCGTGTAAGTCACTCATATCAATACATCGTCCAAATGAACACGCATGTGGCCCAGACCGATGCATTGTGTTTATTTGAGGTGAAAATCTTTATGTAGCAGAGTCAGTGTGCATTAAAGCATCCGGTCTTATGAAAACAGGAAAAAAAACACACCCCATCATTCCTCTTTTCCACTTTCCCTGTTCACCTAGTCAGTGTAATCTGTTCTAGTATTGTTCTCTTGATGTCTGTGTCCTTTGCGCATAGCAGCATGTGCTATGCAACATGCAAAGCCCCTGGATTTCCTCAGGCCATTTATAACTGGATGCAATGCTCACAGTGGCCACCGCCTCAGAGGGGGCAGTGTGGGACAGCTGGATCTCAACCTCAAACCAGGAAGCGGAGAAACCTGAAACTATCTATCCGTCGTTATCTCCTCATTGCATCATCACAAACACCACCACCACCACCATCATCCCATTCGTTCTGACATGAGCAAACAGTTTGTCCACATCTATTTACTTTTCTGTGTATATGCCGAGAGGACTGCTCAGAGACTGTTTACTCAGAACCTCAGAGAAAGGTTCTGTAACCACATCTCATTTGCATCTGGGGGCCTAGAGCGATGAAAGGGCCCTGGGCTTGTTTGTTCCTTCCTTCATTCATGCTCACTTTTCCACACCTTATTGACATGAATGTAGTTTTTTTTGGGTTGTTCACGGCCTCCTGTGCGCAAAAGAGCTACTCACCTGGCACTATCTGTTCATGCATTGCGCGTCATGCATTTAATATAAAATGTACTGGCTTCGTCCCGTATATGGACAGATTACCCTGCTGCTTAGCTCTGACTCACTATACGCATTAATAATGCTGAATATCCTGGTCAGTGGTGTCTACACAGTGAACATGTGGTACCTTGTCTGGTGAAACTGCACCCGTCCAAGTGGAGTATGAGGTTCAAAACGAACCAGTGTCCATCTAATATCTTATACACTAACACATCATTAAACCCACTCTTGAAACCGGTCTCGTCGCATATCAGCATGTACGCTGGAGGTCAGTGCTGGGATAATACTTTGGGAGCATTCAATGGCCAGTTTGTTCCCAATCCAGAGTAGCGAATCCAAATTATAGTGTGACCAGTGATCAGAGGACACTACCACGTTTAGGAATACATGAAGATTTGTAGATGTTTGGACGTAACGTGAATAGCCAAGTTTCTGTAATAACAGGAGAAATCCCACCACCAGCTTTTACATGATTTGTATCGATATAAGCTGTCCAGCCTAGCAAAAATGAAAATCCAGTAATACACACCTAAACAGACACCACGTAATACAGGGGACTGATGTGTTGGGGAATAATATAAAACATCTTTATTATATCCAGTGTGTATGAGTTGTGTTGATGTATAGAAACAAAAAAAGTCAAAAAAGTGACAAAAAATGCAACACCAAAACAATACATAGTGTCATACTTGTAAATGTTAAATGACAAAAGTAACGAAGATGAAGAAAATCCTGAATAATGTTACGCTCTATAGGAACCATATTGTGTTACTTTTATTTTGATTGCAATGAAACTGTCTATGTACCATACCTGTATAAATGCGTGTGGTCCACGCCGTCCTATTTGTATATGATGATGTAATTTAAAGATTATATTCTATTGTAACTGTACAACTGTGTTGAGTAGAGACAAAAACCTAACTAAGTTGAGACAGTAACGAAACGTGTACATGTAAATGCTTTTTTTTATGTCGATCTGCTCTTTATGCATACGAAGGGGACGATGGCTTCTGTCGTGAAAAAATTACTACTTTAGCAGTCTAGAGGATGTATGTATGTTAATAGTTAGTGATGTAATTTGATCTCCTTACTGGTGTAGTGCCTGTTCATCTTAATATGACATAACGTTCATTTAAATATGCATAAAGACGAAGCTGAAAAAAACGAAACATGAGGATGGTTGTGACGATGACGATGGTCAGTTAGCGCTGAAAACCTGAATTTACGTTGTTGTGCTGATGTCACTATTGCAATATATTAGTTTGGGAGAACAAAACAAGTTTGTTGAGAAAAGAAAAGTGTGTGTGCTCTGTTTTTTTCAAGGGAAGAGTCACATTTCTAATCCCTTAAAATCCTAGGCTTCTTACACAGTAAGGCTTATTATTCAGTAATTACAGGGCCCTCAATGCAAACTAGTGGAGCTGTTAGGATATATAACTGTAATAAAACTTTGTACCTGCCAGTGGACCCTGGCGATTTAAGGGGTTAAGCCCTGCTTACCACAGAAGGTCCAGTAATGTAATCTGTCAGGGATTTGAATGGCCGATTTCTGTGGAACTTCTCTAAAATAACTCCAGATACCCCTGGTTGAAATGCTGTAGCCTGGAAATTCACACTAGCATTAAGATTAAAATGGAATGAACCCAAACAAACAACAGACACTTTCAGTAAACGCCACATAGAATAGCTTTAAGCTAGTAAAGCCGGATCATTCAACTTACATACTGCCCAACAAGACGGAAATCGCACTGCTCAGCGAAACTGACTTTAAGATCTTTCATTTTCCTTCTCCTTCTAAGTAGGCCAACATCAAAAATGTTTTAAATTACAGTAATTTGTGCATAGTCAAACTCCATCAGAACAGTTAGCCTAAGTCTTTTAGTCACCAAAAATAAGATGTCACTATCTATTAGGTTTTGTTATTAAACTACTGTGAGATCACTTCAAACAAGTCTATTATTACTGAGTGTTTTTTTTTTAAATATTACTTATGGACTCGTTAAATCTAAGAACACTGCAGATTTATAGTGGATTAAAACCACAGTTCTCATCACTTATCACATTACAGCACCTCCCGAAGTAAAACTAATCCAGCTCAAAAAGGGCTTAGTTGTTCATAATGTGTTGATGAACTGATGCATTATTTCTGAAGAAACAGTGCAAAGACACAAATATGCTGTCATTGTGGGGTTTAAATGGCAATTGCACCAATTGCACCACCAATCCTTAAGATGTAAACAGTCATTCAGAGTGGTTTGATGTGAATTATTATTATTGTTATCAACATTATATATAAAAACTCAGAAGGTTCACTGATGGTTCTGGATAGTAAATAAAATGGCTATATTTAAGTGGTCAACATCACAACCTCTAGTTTCACTGCAAACAAATCTGAGCTTCTCTACAGTGAAACTTTTTACATCAAACCACATCTTTGTTTACATCTTAACAAATGAATTGAGCAGAAACAGACAAATTTCAGAGATGTGCTAGTTAGTGATGCTTTCTCTCTGATGCTCGTAAGTGTAGGATAATACGTTTTCAGGATTGTTTATTGCTTTGGATGGTGCTGATTCAATAACAGGTATTAGTATTACACTAATATCAGCAAAAAAAAAAATAAAATAAAATAAAATAAATAAATTAAAAAACACAAGAATTGAATATAAGAAATATAAGAATGAATGTAATCCAATACTGTAACAAATCTGTTCTGAAACAGCACTCACTCACACTGTGATAGCTTACCCTTAGATATTCATCTTAAGTGAAGTGTTTCAATTAAAAATAGCTCATTTTAAAGCCTAGTAGATTTAAACAAAGAAGTGATGGACCAGTAACGGCTGACACACGGTACAAACTCCAAACCCTAAGGCTGTGATGATTTCAGTAGAGTATTGAAAATGTAGAGAAAATGTATAGGAATATAAAACTTTATTACCCCTCACTCTCTTTGAAGTTTCTCTCATTTGCCATCTTTCATGCAAACCACTGCCAATCATTAAAGCCAGGCATCTGGATACAGCCTTTCAGAGTGAAATTGGTGTGGAGGGGGTGAAGCTCATGCTATAAACACACCCACACTCAAAAGGCTGGACTTTTTGAGTCAAGTCTGTTATAATTCTAAAGGTTGCTATTATAGGGGCTTATGTTGTTATTGAAAATCATATCAAACGTGAAAACGTATCGTTACAGCCGAAATAAACCCCACTATGTTTTCAACCCCTTAAATTCAAAGTGAAGGCGAAATCATAATGCATTTTATTCCTTTCCAAGTGACAAACAGAGCTGGGGAGGGTCTCTGAGCCAGACCCTTCTCAGTGTTTTCTTTCCATTACAGGTGGGGTGGTGGGAGGTGAAACATGTTATTGGTTAATATTATTTTCCCCACCTGCTGGTGCATGATGATGGAAACAAAACTCAGAAGCAATAGCGTTTCAAGTTGATTTCAAGTTGATTTAGTCTTTTAAACTGGATGATATGACGACTCATTTTTTATTTTCATACTGGGATTTTTTTTTATTTCCTTTTCACAGCTGTCCTTGCAGCTTCACTCGGCTTTCACAAACCTAAAAACTAAAATTGATATTGGTCTGGCTACAGCATCTGACTTTCTTATTGTACTTTTTAGGGACTTTGGTTTAAAAGTGTTTATGTGTGTAAATTTTACATATTTATTTGGTCACAATATCTCAATTTCATAATTTCTCATAAACTGAAAAAATAGGCCAATATCTCAACAATCCATATCAACATTTTAATTATCATCACAAAATAAAAACTATACACACACATACATACATATCATTGTATACTGTGTAGGAGAATTCAATTGATGTCAATGCATGTCAGTTTCAAGCCATTCTATAGTAGAACAGTTGAGCAGTTCCCTTCAGTCCACCATTTCTCTCTTTCTTTCATTTAAAAATGTGCAATATATGCACACATGCATGCATGGATGAAAATTACGTGAAGCTGATGACACTTTTACAGCAAATTACAGCAATATATTGTTCTCTGAAATTAATTTCTGAAATTCCAATTTTCCAACTTTGGTTAATATTAAAGATGGTAAACATGAGGGTGATTAAAACATGCAGATGTTGGTTGGATAGGCAATGCCACAAAGTGGCCTGACACCAAATTTAAGCAATTATTGTCGACCAGAAAGAAAACTGTGGCCAATTTTCTTATTGTATTTCTTCAAACCTTTGGACATAAATTGGTTAAAATGTCCAGGAGCGTAAACTAACAAGGTAAAAAGCGTCGGTTATAATTTTAGGTTGATTTTAAACCTTTATGATTACTTGATAACTTGCATGTTACTTGGATAATAATTAACATATAGTTTACAGTAGTTCATAATAAATCTTAAGATGAAGAACTGAATAATGAGTAGGGGTTGTGTGTGGTCCTATAGCACTGTTTTTAAAACTTCTGCGAAGGTCTTTTTGGCTTGTGACCTGCATGATGTGGCTGCTCTTCACTGTGACTTAGCATCATAAGTCTTTTAATCAGCAAAGTGGAAAAGATCACATCAAATTAGAAGCATTAGGCTAAATACCATCATACATAATATCCATCAGCAGTAAATATGAAGACTTTACTTCAACTCTGAGACATAACATTGATATAAACATGCTGTAGCAAAAGTCATATGCTGTCATACTTTGGCAGACTATGTCAAGTAATATAACTACATTTTTTGTCTTCATTTTCAGTAGTCATAAAAAACAAAAGGTAATAATAATTTAAATGCAGAAAGAAGACAGAGAAAAGGCTGGAGGACTGAGATGTTTTGCATATAGCCAAACTTCCTTGTGTCAACTTGGCATTTTGGAAACACCTTACACTTCATCAGTTCTGCGAATGGATTATGACAAGAGTAAACAGCTGCACACACTGAGTAAATATGCCTGAGGCAATCAAGTGCCCAAGGTTTCCCTTTCACTTAAACTGAAAAAAGAGAGCCCTGTGTCTCTTCTAGCAGAGGTCAGTGTCATCTTTGAGTGTTCACACATGAGCTTGATGCCTCTCCTTTTCAAGGCAAAGGGATCGACCCATTCACGCACTGTACATCAAAATGTTTAGGTTCTAAACACTTTTCTGTCTTTTTAAACATAACACAGTTTTCGGTTAAGCTGTTTCTCTTACTCGAAACGAATTTAATCATCAAATAAACACCTCAAATTCCCAGACTTATTACATCTTAAAGAGGAATTCCACCAATTTTTTTTTAATTTCTGCATAACTCCATAACTGACAATCATCAAAGTCATTCAGGGTGGTTTGATGTGAAATGGTTCATTATAAAGAAACCGAAATGACCAGTGAACCTCTTTGGGAACTATTTTGCTCTGGATGATTGTTCTGTCATGAATGTATTTTAAAAAGTACAAAGACGTCTCAAAACTACCAGAAAGCAATGTCTCAGACATTAGACTGCGTATTCATAGCCTTTTTGAGGGATGGACTGAACACTTCAGATGTCTGGTTCCTATCATCACCACTGTGAACAAGTCTGACTTGGCAAGTTTCTCTAGAAAGGAGTATTTCATGCCAAACCACTCTGAATGACTTTGTTTACATTTTAGCAATTTAACAGTGATATGTACATATTTAGCCATATATCAGATTACCACATGGAGAGTGAGATTTTTGGGTTTAAAGACAAGGAAAGCCCCTTTTTGTAATTTGGGAGGAAGGTGGGAGGAACTTTAGCACTGTAACTGCTCTGGGGTGGACTGTTTTGATTTTTTCATTATTTTTTAGCTGGCAAAAGGAAGGCAGATACTGTTACTACTAAGCTGAATATCTTATGTAAGCTGTATAACTGTAGTAACGGTCTTTAGCTCATCATTACAATGGAGAGAATGGATTACTCAAACGACAAAAAAGACTCCTCAGATGAGGAGGACAACACGCTAAAAGCTAAAGTTAGCAAGCTATGTAGTGCTCGATACCTCAGTATGGCTATTTTTGGAGGGCTAAAAGGGTAAAAGCCTTGTCTCTGTTGTCCATTTTGTGCTAAATAAAGAGAGAATCACTGTTTACAAGATAAGAGTTACACTAATGCTAGCTTGGTAGTTGTTATATTGGGTTCTTTTTTTTAGCCTATAGCTTAGCGGCTAGGTTAGCAGTCAGGACTGGTAGACTGTTTTGATTTTTCTTTTTTTTTTTTAGCTGGTGAATGAAAAAGAAAGGCAGATAATGTTACTGCTAAGCTGAATATCTTATGGCAGCTGTACAACTGTAATAACTGTCTTTAGCTCATCATTACAATGGAGAGAATGGATTACTCAAATGACAGAAAAGACTCCTCAGATGAGGAGGACAACATGCTAAAAGCTAAAGTTAGCCATCTATGTAGCGCTAGATACCTCAGTTCAGCTATTTTTTTTGGTGCTAAAAGGGTAAAAGCCTTGTCTCTGTTGTTCATTTTGTGCTAAATAAAGAGAGAATCACTTTTTACAAGGTGAGAGTTACACTAATGTTAGCTAGCTTGGTAGTTATATTAGTATTTTTTAGCCTATAGCTTAGCTGTAAGATGGATTTGTATAACAGATACTGATTATTTTCGTGAGAGAATATTTGAAAACATGAAAGCGACATAAAATCGTTTAATAAGCATTTACAGTGACCTGTACAAAAGGGGGGTAAAGCATTAGATGTGAAATGAAGAAAAGACCATAAATAAATGCCATCCCATGTTTGATCCATCTTAAACTGGCTCTCTTTGGACTAAGGCAGGTTATGCAAATAGAAAAAAGGCAGTTTTCTGTAGCTGCTGACACAAAGTATTCAGCAGGACAGCTTTATAAATATGCTGTACTTTAAGTTTGGCCCATGTAGTTATTCAGAAGTGCAGTCTATTACATGGTCAGTTTTTATTCACTCACAATAGGGCAGTTAAACAGCCACTGCTGCTTTTCAAGGTTGCCATTGTAAGTGGGTTGGGAGGCAGTGGTGGTGTTTACCACTTGTGGTGGCCCAGTGAAGTGCTACGTCCAAGTCTATTGGTTCTTCATCCAGACTCAAAACACGAAGCCTTGTGGAGCCTTTTTCACTGCGCCACTGCCTCACCATCTGGTTGTCTGGTCTCTTCATACTGGATTAACAAACTGATAGACCAGTCGCTGAGACACGTCTGGTTTTTTAATGATGCCCTTCTTGTAGTACTGCCGAATGGAGCGGCTCAGTTTATCGTAGTTCATTGCCGGACGGTTTTTCCTGATCCCCCACAGTTTGGCCACATGAGCTGAGTCTTCAATTTTGAAGATACCTGTAAATAAAGAAACAAAAACAGAATCTAACCTCCAGGCTATTAAATAATGAAGCTGTCACTCAAGTTCACCCTGTAAAATGCTTAAAAAGAAAGGCCAGATCAGGTTTCGTAAGTTTATCTTGAAATTCGTTATGTTAATTGTGCTGTATAAATGTTGTTGCTGGCATACACTGCATCCCTGCACTGGCCTCCTGTATGCTACAGGATCCAATTCAAAGTTCTTTTATTTGTTTTCGAGTCACTAAATGGATCTGTGCTGTCTTATGTATGAGATCTGCTCCAACCCTTTCCCTTCTCCAGCTCTTTGAGGTCATCAGATCAGTTGCTACTAGCTGTGCCATGGTCTCAGCTGAAACTGAAAGGCGACCAGGGCTTTGCTCTTGCTGCACTGTGGACCGGTCTACCTCTGGATTTGATTGTACTGGATGTTGTTTTGTTATATACCTTATGGTGCCTTTTACATGTGTTTTAAATATATCCCTTTTGTACAGCACTTTGGGTTAAAACGTGCTATATAAATAAATACTTACTAGAATTTCTGAACTGTTCATGGTGGTGTTGATGAGAACCAGATGACTAAAGAGATTAATGCCTCTAAAAGCTCCCTCACAGAATGGTTACAAATACTTGAAACATTGTGTGTGTGTGTGTATATATATATATATTTATACATACATATATACACCAATCATACATAATATTATGTCCTTGTTTCTACGCTCATTGTCCATTTTATCAGCTCCACTTTCTATATAGGTGCACTTTGTAGTTCTACAATTACAGACTGTAGTCCATCTGTTTCTCTGCATACTTTGTTAGCCCCCTTTTATCCTGTTCTGCAGTGGTCAGGACCCCCATGGACCCTCACAGAGCAGGTACTATTTGGGTGGTGGATCATTCTCAGCACTGCAGTAACACTGATGTAGTGGTGGTGTGTTAGTGTGTGTTGCGCTGGTACGAGTGGATCAGACACAGCAGTGCTGCTGGAGTTTTTAAACACCTCAGTGTCACTGCTGGACCGAGAATAGTCCACCAACCAAAAATATCCAGCCATAATGAAGGAATACTAAGTGCACCTATATAGTAAGTGGAGCTGCTAAGATGGACAATGAGCATAGAAACAAGGAGGTGGTCATAATGTTATGCCTGATCGGTGTATATATATATATATATATATATATATATATATATATATATATATATATATATATATACATATATATATACACACACATATATATATATATATGTAGATATGTAGATTTACTTGTCATTTTGAATAGTAAATATATTTGTGTTGTAGACATTGTAAGCCCTGATTACTATCACCACCACTGAAAAGAAATCTAAGTCAGTACATTTGTGTACAGTGCACTCTCACATGCCAACATATCAATTAGAGAGAACTCCAGGAGAACCTCACCCTTCTCTTTGTTGAGCCAGCGGATGCAGCGTCCATAGTTGTGGGGTTTGAGGAGCAGCTCCCGGAGAAACTGCCACAGGTGGATGGGCTGTGCGGTGCAGGATGAGTCTGCTTCGCCACATACTTCATCTGTTCCTGAACCCAATAAAGGCAACAGCATGTGAGTTTCCTGACCACAGTGTTTTATAATGTGCACCAAGCATGACTCCGGCAAGATTAGCTGAGAAGAACCTTACCAAGAAAACTGTTGTTTTCAGGGGAACAGCGCTCTTTCATCCAGGCAGCTAAAGGAAAAAAAGGATTTCCATTACATCTAATTTAAATTATGGTTCTGTAGGTTCACTTTTGAAGTAATAGCCAAAAATGTGAAAAGAGAATGGACAGACTTTGATCAAAACAAAAAAAAGCACCACTTTACCTGATTTCCAAATGTCTAGGTGGGCATGCAGTACATCCCCGCACTGTGAGGCTCGCTGCCTGAAATCGTCCTCGCTCATCATGCACAGGTCACCGCCACGGAGGTCTTGGAAGGCCCGTCCCACCGGCGGGAGCCTGTACAGGTGTTCGGTCCAGAGTAACCACTTTTGAACATGCCCTGAACTCCAGTCTGCAGGGTCTGAAGACAGAACACAAATCAGCTGCTCTGTGATCTCTAAATGGGCACCATGCTTAACTAGAATATGTTTTCTACTATGTGGCTTTTGTAACACTCATTTAAAGGCTACACAGCGACTTCTTAACACATGCTTAAGCACTGAGTAACTTATTCTTAGGATAGGTGCACAGGAAACACTCCATCCACTGACTGGGCGGTCTCTTTGTTCCCTGAGGTCCCTATACACAGGAAAGGCCATGTCTTTAAGAGCATGGCTTCTGGATTTGAACTGAGTGTGGGTGCAAGAGTGAGACCTAATAGTAGTACAGGTGGTGGAGCCCTAATCCATCACCAAATGACTGGGAATTGTTATTTTCCTATTATGCGTTTATTATCCTTCTTATTTGAACGTACAAAAATGTTTTTATTTTTTGCCTGGAAATTAAATAAATGAAAAGTTATATCTGACTTTTGCACCCTAGGTGTTAGCAGAGTTTTCTACTTTATACTGTAAGGCATTAAAAAGGGCAGAAGAATACCCCATTTTACCTGCGGTAAGCTTTTCTTTAACCTAAAATGCCATAGCTAGCCAACAGGGAGATGGCAGCCACTCCAAGAATGACAGTCAACAAGAAACATTTGCACAGGGTGAGGTCAACAGCCCTTCCTGCCTGACACTAACAGCACCTTGAAACACGACACAGGGCCTGTACTTGATCTCTCATTTCACAGTAATACACATAGTGAGGTTTAAGTACCACTGCACTACCTAAACTGCAGTTCCAAAGACTTCAAAATTAGCAAACAAGAATTTGCTGGTTTACTCGGTCAGTAGGCGCTGTTTTACTACAGTTACAGTTCTTACTGCTATAGAATGACCAGATGTATCCTAAGACTAAAGGACATTCTGGGGATTCAAATTGAAGGACGATCCACATTTTGGACATTTGGGCACGGTTTCCCTCCTGACCGGCCAGCCTACCTGGAGTGATGTTGAGCAGTTTGCATGCTGTCTCAATGTCCTTCAGCACTTCTTCCAACACTAGAGTCTGCACCTGCTCCAGACACTTGTCCTCCACATCCACCTGTCCAGTCAGCCCTGGAAACAGACCCCGTCCCGCACTGTCAATCACTGGGCACTGTCCGGCCTCCTTGCAGTGGGTCACCTCTTCGTCTCTTGTGAGGGGCATGGAAATCTCTGTCTTTCTCACAAGCCAGGCCGTGTCCTCGGCCAGCACCATGTCAAAGCGGGAGAGGTAGTCTGGCATGCTGGGAAAGGCAGGGAACATCTTGGCAGGTTCATCAGCAGCCCATGGAGTAACATGGCTGTGGGAGAATCCTGGGATCTCCATGTACAGATGCCTGTCAGAGCTGCTCATGACTGGCTCCTCTCCTGACCTGGAAGGTAGTTCAAATGGTCAATGCACAAATAGTCATGACATACACTTTATATAAAAAAGGCACCACAAAGGGTTTTTGAGCGATAGAAGAACCACTTTTTGATCCCTAAAACATGTCTGAAGAAGAGACGTGCATGTGAAGAACCTTTTCAAGCCTTACAGAACCTTCAGATATTAACTAACATTCAACTAAATATCTATTAAATGACACCAAACGAAGTTGTGTGTAAAAGGTTCTATTAACCCTAACCGCAAGGCAAAACCAACACCTGCTCCTAGACCTAACCCTAACCTTAATGTTGCTGATACTCAACTGAATATCACCAGAAAATTAAAATAACAAGTATCTGTAGATCATATATAGGGGACCATCCAAATAAACATTTTAACTTTGAATGAGAGACAGTGGAGCCAATTTTTTTTTTTGAAGTAATTTCTTTTATTGATCCAAAATTTCAACACAATATAAATGGCAGCTGGGATTTTCAAATTATGTCAAAATGATGTAATGAGAAAAAAAAAAATCCCAACAAAAAGGGGTTAATTCAACCGTAAGTGAAGCACAATAAAAACATCTCTCCCGCATTGCCCTGATACACGTAAAGGTAGAGAAGCAGTAATCCAAACATAAAGCAAAGACTGGTAACGGGAGTATTTTGTTTCGTGCCATTTATTATGTCTGTCACCTGAGGGCAAAAACAGATGACAGATGACTTTGTTGGTGAACTTCGTATGGACTTAACAGTGTTATTTCAATAATTTTTTTCGGCTATATTTTGTAGCTGAATGGAGCTTGAGATCTTAAAAATATCAAGTGAAATTAAATTTGCACTACAGAATGAAGATGCCTTCAGAATAAAACACTGAACACTGACAACCTTTTATATTATATACAAGCTATACACCTTTTCTGCCACACATTTCCACTTTACATTATCAACTGCAAAAAAATCAATAGAACTTTTAGTGGAACAATGTGAGGGTGTCACACATCAGTGAGTTGAGTGATATCCTAATACAGCATCTGTTTGATCAAAATTGTATCGGCTGAAACCTTTAACTTTTCACATCTTTGTTTAGTTATGTTTATTTCTTACTGACTCACCAGCTCAGCTGGTACTTTACCATATTTTACTTTATAGATAAAGTGTATGGACCAAAATTAGTTCAAACTGCGGCCCCATACTATGAACTATTTAAAAAAAACAAGTATTCAGATATTTCAGCTTAGATACTTGCAAAGATTATGTTATGATCAATTTAAACCCAAGACATTAATAGAGATAATAGAGTAATAAGCTAAATATACACAAAGTTATCATTTATAGGATATTTCCGATAAACCCTATTTCCTAAACCCTAACCCCTAAATTTATACTTGTGAGAATAACGTTTACAGTTTTAGTTTTTTTAAAGATATTTTGTGATTTCTTTTAAAGATGTAGATTTAACATGAGTTTAATTTTTAAATAAAAAACTTTCTTAGGTTTTCATGTCAAAACATGTTTTAGTCCATGGGCGGAGCCTTATTTTAGCCATGCCCCTGTGTTTTATAGAAGTAAGTGAGACTGCATCCCTGCCCCTCATGGCCACATAGTGAGCAGTTAGATCTCATTGATTTGAAGTAAATGTGTCCCAAAGTCTGAAAATCAGTGCTTGACATTAAGAACTGTCACTGTTTTTGAGTTCTGCTCAAAATTAGCTAAAATTGTCACTGTCGAAACAGTCATTACTGAAACATTTGGTCAATGTCTTAGTAGTGACAAATGTTTATTTTAATAAAATAAGCATAGTTAAGGTATAGCATCACTCAAAGGATTTTAGTCTAAAGGCCAAGTGCATTAAAAGTCCAAAATGTGACCAAAAGAGCTGCACATTTTTTTTTTCTCACTCATTTGTCGCACTAGCAATCCAACAATTGTAACAGACTGTGTGTACATCAACAATGACTTTTTACAGTTTTTGTACTGCAACAAACGCAGAGAGAGACTGATGTAGTAAATACACGACATGTAGCGTACATGTGTGATATGCATACTCTCCTCCAGACGCAAAATCTGATCATAACTGGAGATGCTTTTGAGACCCATGGAAATTGCAAGTGTCAACAAAAGCGAAACCTCTTGCTGATCAGATCACTCGAGACGCAATTGGATGCCCTCACATGTTATGTATGAAATTGGCCCAGAAGCCTAAACCAAAGACCTTACGGGAAAGTCTGTTCACTTAGCGGCCATCTTTGCAACACCTCCAGGCAGTTATTTCCAGTCATACAAGACCAGACTCATATTTCACTAAAGGAGGAGAGACCGATAAACTCAAAACTGAAAGCAGCATTAATGCTTCAAACACATATTTGAAATCACTGGTAAAATCAGACAAAAACTGCATAAATAGTTTGTAGCGTTTGGCTCAAATAATGCAATGAAGCATGTTTTTCAGGTTGTTCTGGCTATTGAACATGCACATATGTCCACAAGAGGGAGTTTTTCCTGCTTGCGCTTTTCCAAGCAAGCTGATTGGATGTTTTTATTGAATTTTCCAGTAAACAGATGCGATGTTGACCTTGGGTCCTTTGCAAGCTTTCTCATTCTTTTTTACCCAGCGAAAAATATGCTGTCATGCGGCCACAATATGCAAATGCAGTCCATGTTATTGTTTCATTAACTGTTTTCTTAGCTCGAGTAAAGTAACACACCTGTAGAATGTTTTGGTGCTATTGCTTTTTCAGTGAAGTTTCATTTTCTGTTTTGTCTGGAGCTTCTTGACAGCATTATTGCTTTTAAGACCTGCACCTTGTGAGTGAGCAGTTAGTGGGCAGGGCTTTGCATGATAAGTTGCAGTTATAATAAACTGAATGTTAAATTCTGGTACAGTGTGAGTGAATATTGCTGTCAAAACAAGCACTGCTGCAAATTTAGGGGGTTATGGGGGGACATGTTCCTCTCCCTTTTTAAATGATGTAGGATAACTTGGAGTTCGCAGGATAATGGAGTGGCAAAAGATCTGTTGTTATCAATTATTTTACTGCTGTCAATTACATGTTAATACTCTAATTAAAGCCAAAATGGATAGTTGTTTTCTTTAGTTATAGTCAGTAATGACAAACAGAAAGATGCAGCAATCCGTCATGGAGTCATTGACTGTACTACTATGATTGGTTGTTGTCATAACAGTTATTAATAGTCCTTCCTTTTTCTTCTTAATTATTATCATATTTATCATTATTGGTGCATTTTAATCAAATATTTTTAATGCTGATCAGCCTACACAAGTGACTCTTCTACAGGTTACTTGGTGAATAAACACTTTTAATTAAGGGTACACACTTAAAAAAGATTGTTCTTCAAGAGTTCTTTAGTAAAGAAAATGGTTCTTTAAAGAACCATAAACATTCAAAGAAACCTTTCCATGATTAAAGGGTTCTTTGCTTCGTGAAAGTGTTCTTCATATTGATGGAGAATGTGCTGTAGATGGTTCTATATAGAACCTTTTTGAAAAGGGTTCCATATAGCACCAAAAAAGGTTCTTTCCATTGTTGTGAAGTCAGGCTTCTTACAATATAAGAACCTTTTTGGTGCATCATGAAAGTGTTCTTCAGATTGATGGAGAATGTGCTGTAGATGGTTCTATATAGAACCAAAAAAGGTTCTTTCCGTTGTTGCCATCTTTCCATCAGGCTTGTTACACTAGAAGAACCCATTTTGGTACTTTATAGAACCCATTTGCAAAAAAGGTTTTATATAGAACCGTCTACAGCACATTCTCCATCAATCTTAAGAACCATTTCACCATGCAAAGAATGTTTTATCATGCATCATGTTCTATATAGATCTATTTTCTTTACTAAAGAACCCTTGAAGAACCATCTTATTTTTAATGTGTGTAGTTAATAAAGCAGCAAAGAAAATAAACAAGCTAAGCTACTTTTAACTTTGGGTCCTGTAGTTTAGGATCAACTGCACTTCTAAAGTTGATGTCCTCAAGCGTGTATACAGTGGCCTCTTACGTACGAGGTTTCCCTCTTGACGGTTTCAGAGTGTTTGCCACCAGATGGAGAGGCTTAGAGGAACCTTTGATAATCTGACGTGCACAATAAATAATAGGAAACAGTTATCGGCGCAAACATCGGCAGCAAAAAGAAAGAGCGCGTCTGCGTTTAAGCCTCGCTCAGGAGTTACAGTTTCTTTTGGCATAGTGTTGCAGTGTAAAGTGTTTGTAGCTGAAGGTGGGACTGTTTAACATGGCATTGGGGAGACGTTTCCATTCATCAACAGACGCAGTTTCTCTCGTGGGAAATGACTGCCCTATTCACACTTCCTTTCCAAGACCTTTTTCAAACCCAACTTATCATACAGTTTTGAACTTTTGTGATTGGTGTGAGGTCACATTTGTGAAAACATTGGAAAAGTTAAAGGACACATAAAGAAAAATTTTTTTTTTTGGAGTATGGAGACTATATATGAATGTATATATGAAAACTAAGCTTGTTTTGAAATCATTGTTTTAGGCTATGTTCACATTACTAGGTTGAAGTGGCACAAATCAGATTTGTTGGCCTAATGTGACTCAGATCTGATGTTTTCAGAGCTGTGTGGACACACAAATGCGATCTTTTCAAATCCGACGTGAGCCACTTTGGCTACGTTCACAGTACAAGCTTCATTGCTTAAATCAGATTTTTGCTTTAATCCCATCTCACTGACATAATGGTTCACACTCGTTTAGCTAAGTGATTAAAATCTGTCATTTATGTGAACAAACCGGCGTCCTGAAATGACCCGCGTGTGAATCATGTGTGTCATGAACAGTAAACAAACTAATGTGCAGAACGCGGCTTCGCTGCGAAGATAGGTAACTCTGAACAGCTCTCAGCTCTTCATTATTAGAATGAGACAAGGGCGAAAAAGGTGAGATATGTTGCTTTTCCACCGTTTACAGGCTTTAATGTCTGTTCAGCGCTGCTGCCATGGTAATGCTGAATGATGGCACACGCGCAGTGGAAAAAAAGCACATGAATTCTGATCTGAGTGTTCACATTAAGGTCGCATGGCCACGAATCGGATACATATCAGATCTAGGACCACATGTAAAAGGCTACGTTCACATTACCGGGTTGAAGTGGTACAAAACAGATTTTTTGGCCTAATGTGACTCAGATCTGATGTTTTCAGGGCTGTGTGGATGCACAAATCTGATCTTTTCAAATCAGACCTGAGCAACTTTCATATGTGGTCCTAGATGTATCCAATTCGTGGCCATGCGACCTTAATGTAAACACTCAGATCAGAATTCGAGTGCAGTTTTTCCACTGTCAGTGTTCAGTGTTACCATAGCAGCAGCTGCAAACAGACCTTAACCCTTTAATGTCCTCACCAACAAAAAGGCAATGGAACTTTATATTTTGTATTTTTTATTTGTTTGGGGCAATAATAAAACCTGTTTTTTTTTTGAGCCCACAATTTTTTAAAATATTCACATCAACCAAACGGTCGAGATGGCACTTTGTGGCATATATAGTGACTCAAAATGTGCTCTACCAAAAGGCTGAGCAGAACTTTGAAGGGTTAATGCCTGTAAACGGTAGAAAAGCAACACATCTCATCCATTTTGCTTTTCTTGCTCTAGTATGAGCCGCTAAGAGCTGTTTAGAGTTAATTATCTTTGCAGCGAAGCCTCGTTCTGCACATTAGTTTGTTTGCTGTTCATGACACACGTGATTGGTTCACGTATTGTTACTGATGATGATGTGCGCATGCAGGTCATTTCAGGATGCCGGTTCACAGATTTGAATCACTTACCAAAACGAGTGTGAACCATCATGTCAGAGAGATCGGATTTGAGCAAAAAATCGGATTTGAGCAATGAGGCTTGTAATGTGAAACAAAGCCTTAGTGATGTCATAGAAATCCAAAGTATTTACATATATCCGCCCATTTGGCCTATAGCAATTTATTTTTTGAATGATGCACAGTACAGGGCAGCCAATTAGAACAGAGCTCATCTACATATCAGTCTTAAAGGCACAGTAACAAAACAGCCTGTTTAGTTCTAGGGATAAGAAAAGGTTGCAAAATGGTCATATAAAGTACATTTTTGACTGTTTTTGCTATATTGTCAGATGTGGGCATTCATTGCACCCAAAACAGAGCCTAAAGCAACAGTTTGCAGGTGTCCTGATGTGCTTTCGTTGTTTTTCCTGCTGTAAGCAGTTTTACTGCCTAACCAGGAATGAATTCTAGCCACTGCCTTGGAAAAGTGTCATAGTTTTCTTGATTGGCTGAAACAAGACAAACACAGTTAAACTCTTCTGCTGAAACGTTTCCTTACTGTTTAAATGTGATAGTAATCTGAATGTCCGTGAGTGTGTAATCTTCCCCTGAAGGCCTTATTGTTTTATCTATGCTGAATCGTGCCACCTCATCAGATTAAAGTCTTCAACTTACTGTAGAATTTGCTTTGGATCCTCTTGGAGGTTGCACTCAAGTTTACTGTTTTCCTTCCTTGATGATCAGTAGCGATTTGGCGTCCTCTGCACAACACTTTGCATACTCTTCACCCTTCAGTGGCAGAGTAAATAGTCCGACAAAGGAGATTAGCCTTTTAACAAATATCTTTCCTTTTGTGAAGCAGACTGGCGTTGAATGACATTTTTACTATACTGCAGTTTTATATATATATATATATGCAAAAGTTTAACATCTTCAGTCGTATTACTGTTTCTATACATTTTAGTGCATAATTTGTATTTATTTGCTGAGAATAAAACAATAAAAAATAAAATATCAAACATAAAATTAGCTGTAATCCTGCACAGGCCACAGTTTATGTTATATTTTCCCCCAATATGTTAAATTCAGCAAATAAACAACAATTATGCAGTAAAATGTTGGTCTGCAGAGGATGTGTTAATGTATTTTCACTGAAATATATGTATATATGCAATCATTTCTCATTCAATAACAGCCTATACATAACTAATATATACTGAGATAGTACAAGCAAGGCACAAGTTTTCAGAGGACACAAAGAATTTCTTAAATGATAAACAATATACTGAAATCATCTACTTACAGTAATTTCTTGATGCAATATCGTCCTTTATATTTGATTGCTACATTTCAAATATAAATAAGTGGGTGACACTTTATTTTAAATGGTCCCTGTGGGTGAAACTAACACTCAGTAGACTTTCGGTAACATGTCAAAAACATATAAGGGTTTGGATTAGGTTTTGGGTTGAGGTTAAGGTTAGGATTAGGGCCAGGGCTGGGTTATGTTTTGGGTTAAGGTTAAGGTTAGGGTTAGGATTAGGGCCAGAGTTAGGGTTACGTTTTGGTAATGTTGGGTAAGATTAGGTTTTGGTAAGGTTGGGTAAGGTTAGGTTTTGCATAATGGAAGTAAAATATTAGCAATACATCTACTTAATGTAAGTAATGTATCAACAGAACATCTTCCAGATATTTACTTCAGTGTTTTCAGATGCTTCACTACTGCTAATTCACTGATGTGTTGTTAATGTGTTACTGATAACCTGTTAAGAGTTTATTAATCATCTACAAATGACCACTCCAAATAAAGTGTTACCTATAAGTGTTCTGGATGTTAATTTGATAACTTTATCATCAGTGTTCTACAGCTTTCAGATGTTACAGGATCTTCTACATCATTCGGGACACGTCTAAGATTTCATCATTTTTATTTATAAGTCCTACTAATTAGCATTATACAATCTATGCAACAGTTTTAGGCATTTGCGGAAATTAGAATTAAAACCCTGTTTATCTGGGCAGTGAATGTGTATTTGCAAAGAAAAACACTAAAATTACAATAAATGCAAATAACCTTAATATCATAAGCAGTGATTTTATGCATGTCAATGTCTTCTTTCAACCATTTCCAAACGTTTCCTCGAAGAAGCCCAGTGTTATTTGCATGGGTGGGGTCATCAAGGAGACATCTGGAGACAACTTTGTTTTTCTAGCTAGCTCACAGGAAATCAACCACTTTTTAAAAAAATAAACAAGACATTCTTGTTACCTTTTACTGTAGTACTGTTGTACAGTACCTTTACTGGCAAAAACACATGTTCTGCCAAGAATATTAGGTTTAAACAATGTGTTTAATGCAAAATTATTGTTTATTTGCTGAATTTAAGATACTGGGAAAAAACATTTTGTATTTTATGCTTTATTTTTTGTAACGTTTAAAACTCATTAAATACAAAGAAAATAGAATGTGCACCAGTGTTTGCAGAAAAAATGACATCTAAGTGTGTTCTCTGTAGAGGATGTATAACTTACTTAAAAAATCAATAAAACATTATTTGAAATATATATATATATATATCATCAGTGATCTGGTCTGAATGATCTGTATACTTACTCAGTGGAGGACGAGGCAGGTTGCTGTGAGCCGCTGCAGTGTTGAGATGGAGAGCAGGTTATAGAGTGAACTGTAGATTAGACTGCAGCACAGGGAGGTCACAGCATGCAGTGACTCTGTCACCTGTAGTTCCTGAGCTGAGAGCTTCTCCACCCAGTAAGGTGCTAAAACCTGCCTAAGTTCGGATGTTGCAGCACACTGAGGAACTCTAGAGCTTGAAGAGTGACTAAGGTGTCCCTCTAGAGTTTGCTGAATGACCTCAAGGAGCAAATGAAGCGGCTTATCAAGGGAACAGCCCTGAGGCACGTGTGCCTATCTGCATACGGAATGTGTCAGTGTTCGTTGGTGGGAGTGTAGTGTGAGCTGCAGTATGCTACAGTCTCAGTCTAATAGCTTATTCAGGAACACTCCATCAGTGTTATCAGGTGTATTTAATAACTGCATAAAATAATGGGAAAGAAGAGTCTTTCTTAGCGTTGTGCCATTTAAGTGCTTTCCAAAAGAAGTAGAATGAATAAAAAAGAAAAAATGAGAAAGATGCAAGCATATTTTCACATATATACTCTTGACAGCATGATGAGAAGACAAGAAGACTAGAATAATGGAAACACTTCAGTATGGGAGCAATGTAATGCATTTATTAAGCCTTATCAAGCCAAAGGTCTGCAATTAGCTGCTTATTACTACCTCATTAAACAATAATAAGCATTTCCAAGTGCACTTTAATTTGGAACTCACCTTTAAATGTGACCAGTGATGACATTTTCATTTACATACCTAAACATTCTTAAAGTGAAGTCAATATTGTCTCTAAATGTCTCTACGGAAAGATTCTGCATTGCTCTATGCTGTATAATGAAAAGGGATCACCCTCAATCTATCTGTAACCCTGCAAATATTTATTCAAGTGGTGATGGATTGCCAGTGAAGAGTTTTACAGTATGTAAAGATTCCCTACCAGGGGTACCCAAACATTTTGTTGTTGAGGGACCAAAGGGCCATTCTCATAAGTGCCAAAAAACAAAACAATATACAAATAGAGTGGTAGGTTTCAGTTTCTAAACATGTATTTAATACATAATACTGCTTTATGCTTTACTAAAATATGTAATTGCACAATGTAAGATTGTTTAAAATTGAAACAAGTAGCATTATTGAATCAGGAGAAAAAAGACATGCTAAAGTATGGTGGGCGTGTGCTGCTGAATAAATGTAAAAGTCAGAGGTGTTGGGTCAGATTTTGTTTTCAGGATCACATTGCATGTCTGTACATATTAACATCACACGCACAGCCTCAGAAAGAAGGTCCAGCTCGATGTTTAGGTCTCAAATGCAAAATCAACAATATGCTGATGAAGCACAGCCGACGTTACAGAATGCTCTTCCACACGTTGCATGCAGTTACACATTTCCGCCAGAGAGGTCTCCAAATCCTCAAATCTAGCATAGTGCCTAAAAAAGAAAAATAAGTATTTACTAAGTCGCAGTACATAATAATTGTTGTTCTCTCACTGGGTGAGACAGTGGGGTTATTGTTTGCTATCTGGCGTCGACCAGAGGAGGATGGGTCTCCTTTTTGAGTCTTGGTTCCTCTCAATGTTTCTTCCTCTTGCTTTTAGGGAGTTTTTCCTTGCCACTGTCCACTTTCCTTACCCACTGGCTTGTCTGATTTGTGACAATGCCTGTTGTAAAAGTGCTATATAAATAAACTTTGACTTGACTTGACTTGACTCACAGGACTAGTTTGGCCTGCAGACCAAACCTTTGGACAGCCCTGTGTATACCAATAAAAAGTCTATGAACTCAAGCCAAGAATGATTAAGGAACTTTTATTTTCAATAGTGTATACAGCACTACAATTGGAATGTTATTTGTTTAGAGTTTCTGGATTGTCTTTTATAATCTACACATGAACCTCCTTAATAAAGAACTCATCACTTATTTGGAACAACGCTACTACTCATCCATCCCAAAGAAAATACACTAGATGTCCAAATGTTTGTAGACACCTGTTCATCCAATGTTTCTTTTAAAATTAAGGGTATTAAAAGGGAGTTTGTCCTCCTTTTACTGCAGTAACAGCCTCGACGTTTTCTGGAAAGGCTTCACTCTAGATATTAGAACATTACCTGAGGTCAGGTACAGCTTGTCTAGATACTTTTGGGCATTTTGAATGTTTGAGGAATCCTAGATGAATTTGGCCTCGAGAAGAAGATCTCTAAAAAAATGTCATGGTGTTTACAATCATTTGCATGTGCTAATATTTAACATTGACTTTTTTGCAAGAAGCAGCTTCGGGATAACCTGGATGAACACCACTTCATTTCCTCAACAGCTTTTTTTCCCTTGAGGGAATTCTGAGGCACAACTGCACTTGAGCATTTGAGGAGTGTCAGTGAGAGGTTAATTCTGTAATGCTGTGGTGGTGAATATGAGTTAGCAGTTTTAGTGGCCCAGGCAACAGAAGAGCTGGAAACGACATCAGGATAGATACTACGTAACTGATGCCTGAGTATTTCTCACAGATGTCTGTCATATTTGCTAAATATGATGAAAACAGAGGGTGAAGTATTAATGCAACAGCAATGAACAGGCTGCTTTTTGCCTTCACAGCAGCTTCAGTCCTTTATAGAGTCTTCAACAATTCAAACATCTTCAACAGTTTATAATGGTCATAAGACACCCTCCATTTATAATATTTCTAGTCAAAACAGCCATTAAGTACAAGTTATTCATTTTTCAGTGTCAGATAAAAAAGCAGAAAACACCAATTTAATAAATATAATTCTCAACAACTAACTAGAAAGGGAAAATGTGTGAACAAACTTTAAGTGGGTTTGAAAAAGAAAGCTAATTCAGTTAAAACATTAAAATGGGGGAAGACTGTTGATGGTTGTTAAAGTGTTGCTAAAATGTTGCTATGCGGTTGCTACAGTATCCTAGGCGGCAAGTAATGTGTTGCTAGGTGCTACCTTAAACTGCTACCTTAAATCAAATGCCACCTTAAATTCAGTGCTACCTTAAATACACTACCACTTTAAATTCACTGCCACCTTAAATACACTTCTATATTTTAAATGCAGTTCCACCTTAAATTCACTGAGACCTTAAATTCACTGCAACCTTAAATGAAATTCTACCTTAAATTCAGTGCCACCTTAAATGCAGTTTCAAAGAAATCTGCACAAATATTTTTCCACACCTCCACGTGTGTGTGTGTTCGGGGGAGGGGGGGGGGCGTCACTTGGATCGTGAAAAACAAAAAGTTCAATCAGCTTCTAAGACTGATATTTGGAGGGTTGGAAAAACATCCCTGCAGATTTCTTTAAAAAAGGCAAATCTCCTAAAAAGAATGGATGCTGAAATAAATGTAAAGAGCGGACACACTAAATACTCATTAAAATACACAAAGTTTATTTAGTTAGTGAGAATTTTGTCTGTTAAATTCTCAATAACTAAATATATTCTGAGCATTTTTGAGTATTGAGAATCCAAGTAATCCTAACCACATTCAATGTTTTTGAGGTGTGGACTCTGGCATGGTCAGTCCATTGTTCTGACTGTGTCCTTTTCTCAGTGAAGGCTTCTTAATAGCTACACATCCTTTCAGACCCACAGTGCTGAGTTGTCTTCTCACAGTGGAAGGATGGACAGAAACACCTGTGGATGTTTTTAGATCTGAAGCAGCTTGATTTTCTCCTCTCTCTCAAAGATAAAAGCTTTCAGTGCTGTTTATCTGATGGGGACAGTTTTGGTGTCTACTAGGTCTTGCACGGGTGTTAGGAGTCATATTTTTACCACATCTTTATATAGTGAAATATATACCCCAGTTTTGTCCATTCCCATTTTTTCACTTTTTTTCCAACCAAGAGTAGTTTTGGGGTCAGAAACTGACCTTTAATGAAAGGCTAGAGGATGCAGAACTGTTTATGCAGTCAAACAGTGAAAAGACTATGCAATAGAAGGAAAGAGCAGTTCTTGAAGGAAGACAGGGTATTACGATGTAGTCACTAAGCACAGAATCATGTTTAATTTATAGCATTCAGTTGTTAATCCATTTTAGTAAAATAGAAGGTAATATGTCATATTTGAATTTATGTGCAGTTCTGAAAATGCTGTTATTTTTCATTTATGGTCTCTAAAAGGTTTTTTTTTCTGTTTTATTTTTGCAGCAGTTTTGGCACAAAGACAAAATCACATATCATGTGTCAAATAAATGTAGTGAAGACTGTGGTCAGCCAGGACGGCATGACTGAAAAGCAGAAATGAAGGGTTAAATTTCATCCCAGGACTAAAATCTGCACAATGTTATGAGTAATACTCTCAAACCGTTTGGGCATGTCATCTTTAACCCGTGAGAGTATTTGCCTAATGCTGCTTTTGTTTTCATTGCAAAACGCTCAAAATTCTTCATTTATTTTAGAGTGAATCATGAGGTGCACAAGATTTCATCAGTGAGGATTCTTCACTCCCAGCCCTTTTTAAAGAACTGCATCTTAAAGTTAAACATCCGTAAACCAGCCATGTTTACACAGACGTCATGATCTGGGATCACTTCAGGATGATCACCACTTGGCATGATCTGACGACTGTTAAAGGCCATTTGGCAGGCTGCCTACAAGTATAATTCCACAGTTTTAGGTTAAATGCCATCCAAAAAGTTAAATTTGAAATACTTTTATTTTTTAAATGAAACCCTTTTACACCCTAAAGGCCCTTTTGTGAATATCCACTTCATTTTTCCACTTCGTCAGTAGAGAATATATATGAGAATATAAAATGCATACATTCACTCCTAAAACCTGATTGACTGAGCCATGTCTGAAAGCCAGTGTAAAATATTCCATATATATACTATATTAAAGTCTGGAATCACTTCTCATATTAATAAGTGTTGGTATTTTGTTACACTTACACAGTGTAGATTGAAATACTGTAAGTGAGAAACCAGAAGGCATTAAGATATTTTGTTAAATGTTTTCCTTTATTTATTCACTGTTTCCTTTTTTATTTATTAAAATATTTTTTTTACCATTAAAACCAAGTTGTTAAATGTATAAATATAAAATTAATATACTGCAATGATCCATTTTTGCTTCAGGATTTGATCACTAGTTTTTTAAAATATGAAATACAGTAGTGCACTGCTCTACTGTTCTACATAATCTCCATCAGAAGGAAACCTTACCTGTAACCTTGCC